TTCACTTCATGTTTCAGCATGTCATGTTTCATGTTTCATTTTGTAGAGCTTAGAAAAAGAAATAATCTTGTACATTGAAGCGTTGTTGTATGCCTAACGGTTATGGAGATAATTAAAAAAACTTTAAATTTAAAATTCCCATGTTATTCTTATGGACAATAAATGAACTGTTGTAGTTTGCTTGTTTATGGATATATTTTATTCAAATTTGGCAATTTTGTTTACTTCATACTAAGCTATCAACATTTCAATGAAAATACACCTCAATTCCTTCCCTGTAGCAGCAAACCTAGGTACACATTAAAATTTATGTTATTTCAATAGGAAATAAATCTGACAATTTTCAGAGTAGAATATTTTACTAGAAATCCAGCCAGGTAAATGGAAATTCGCTTAGTCTGCAGGTTTGCTGCGGCAGGGGTATTTTAAGTAAGTACCGTTTTTAAATTTCTCCATTCCAGCGCTGCGATTGGCATTTTAGACATTTGTGCTGTGTATGTATGTGCATCTATTGGTAAGCCTGCGCCGGAAATTTGACAACAATCGGCCGTATTTACATATGGTTTCTAGCATTCAAAATGGTGCCGCCAATTGATACTGTCGCCAACTGTGAAGTACGCACTGTAATTAGATTTTTAAGTGCTAAAGGTGTGAAAGCCATTGAAATTCATTGACAGATTAGTGAAGTGTATAGCGAGAACATTATGAGTGACGTGATGGTACAAAAGTGGGTAAGGGCATCTAAAGACGGCCCCACCAATGTTCATGATGAACAACACACTGGACGGCCATCTGTCGTTACTGATGAATTGTTGCATAAAGTCGATGAAAAAGTGAGAGAGAACAGACGGTTTATGATCCCATCATTATCCGATGAGTACCATTCTGTCACTCATAATATTTTCGACATACACTTCACTAATCTGTCACTGTCAATGAATTTCAATGGCTTTCACACCTTTGGCACTTGAAAATCTAATTACAGCGCGCACTTCACAGTTGGTGGCAATCTAAATTGGAGTTACCATTTTGAATGCTCGAAACCAAAAGTAAACACGGCCGATTGTTGCCTAATTTACAGTGCAGGCTTGCCAATAGATGCAAATACACAACACAAATGTACATGCCAATTGCAGCACTGGAACGGAGAAATTGAAAAACGGTACTTACTTAAAAATTATATGCCTGGTAATATACAGGGTGTCCCGGAACTCTCTACCAAAATTTTAGAGCATTGTTCCTGAGTTAGAAACATATGTAAATAAATACCATATTTAAATTGTCCGGAAGTCCTTATTTACTTACACAGCCGCCATTTTTTTTTTTTACTTATTATTTTTTTCTAAGGAATGGTTTAACATACCAAATTGAAACTTTGCACAAACATTTATGACAACCAACCAAAGCTAGAAAAAAATTATGAAGATTTTCCAAATTCATTAAACAAAATGGCAGCCATTAAAAATTTTTGTAAAATCAACGGGTTTTGAGTTATTTAAGAAACCAAATTTTAAATGGCCACCATTTTGTTTATGAATTTGGAAAATCTTCATAATTTTTTTCTAGCTTTGGTTGGTTGTCATAAATGTTCCTGAAAAGTTTCAATTTCGTATGTCAAACCGTTCTTTAGAAAAAAATAATATGTGAAAAAAACAAAATGGCTGTGTAAGTAAATAAGGACTTCCGGACAATTTAAATATGGTATTTACATATGTTTCTAACTCAGGGACAATGCTCTAACATTTTGGTAGAGAGGTCCGGGACACCCTGTATATTTATTCAATAAATGCATACAACGTAATATTTAAAATTAAGCTATACATAACTTTCCAAAATACGTTATGTACCCTACATCTAAGTTATTTTTTTTTTCAATTTTGTTGTATTACTTTTGCCGTGGCACCCGCGGCGCCCCCTTGACCACGGCGCCCGGGGCAATCGCCCCACTCAGGGGTGCCCAAAAGGGGGGATGGCTCAATTTGCGCCATCAAGATTTTTTAAGGGGCTAGATTTTTTTGGCGGGATTTTGGTTATTTGTAAGGATTTATACCAGCAAAAATTGACAGGAAATTTACAAGAATAAACCATTAGAATCAAACGCAACAGTAAATAGTACTGTTTATTTATTTAATCATGATTGGCAGCGTTATAAATTTAAGTTTGCCGTTTAGACCAACACCGGAATTTTCCCGTCAATCCGTTAATGTTTTCCTCCAGTTAAGACGGTTGGTAGACCTTTCTTTTAGCGAATTTCCCTATAGGGAAGTAGCTATTACCGTAGGTGGCACGGTAAGACCTACGCCCGGGACCGATTTACTTTTTCATTTTGATGTCCCCAGAGGCCAAAAACACCATTCGTTCAAATTTTTATATATGTTTATATATATATATTTATATATATATATGTTTTTATATATATTTATATTTATATAGATTTATATATATATATATACGTCCGTGAACGTGATAACTTGAGTAATTTTTGTCCGATTTTGATGAAATTTGGTTTAAAGGTGTAAGGCGGGATAAACTTGAATGAGTTCGCGAACTAGCATGATCAAACCATGGGAACGGGGTTTTATGGGGTAAAAATTGGTTTTTCTCATTTTTGACCCTGAAAACACAAAATTCCCCAATTTCTCTCTAGACCTTTTTAAAGAGCTTAAAAAAACAAATAATTTAGTTCAAAGTGTTTTGTAAGGTTATTGGTAACGGAGAAAATTCAAAAAAATTATATATTTCAAATTCCCAAGTTATTCTTATGGAGAATATTGTAAAATGTTGTAGTTTGCTTGTTTATGGATATATTTTGATCAAACTTGGATAATTCATTTATTTTGTACTAAGCTATTAAATATTTCATAAAAAAAAACACTTTATTAGTTTCCTTGTAGCAGCAAACCTAGGTACTCGTTAAACCTAATGTTATTTAATTAGGTTTAATTGAAACTTAATTCAGACAAATGGAAATTCACTTAGTCGGCAGGTTTGCTGCGGCGGGAGTATTAAAGTATGTAATTAGCATACTATTTGTCGGATCAGGGCAAACATTTTTGTTTGAAAAATAACTTTACCTGCTATCTTTCTTCAGCTTACAAATTTGTTGTATGTTTATTACATTTTTTGTAATTTTGCAAAAACCTGTATTTTTTAATATTTATGTGTTATGTTTTGTTAATATCGTTTTATTGGTCTAATATACCAGAAACAACCTTTGAAAAAGTTGTAGGACGTTTTAAGAGCTTTATAAAAATACTATATTTTATATAGAGCCTTCTTAAAAGAAAAGATAAAGTCAAGAAACGTGATAAAGCTCACTAAAACACATAATTTGGCGCAAAAACGGCAATCAGTCCGACATTTAGGGCTGTGTGCAAGTCATATACAGGGTGTTGAAAATGTCTGGAACCAACATTATATCTGGTGAGTGGTTAAAGAAAAACAACTGATATTTTGTGTACGGATATACTATGGTTTTACCTATCTTTTGGTGCCTTATGAAATTTTTTACCACTTATAGGGAACGTCCTGTAGAGGATGCAGTAAAAAGTTTTAATGGAAGCCTATGGCAAATGATACATCATTTTAAAGGCCATTTTTTTCTGAGTAAGGAGCCACAAGTTTCATCTCAAAAGGACCACCCTAGCAAAAATGGCGACTGTTTGAAATTTAAAAACCTACTTATAGGAAACGTCCTGTGGAGGATGCAGTAAAAAGTTTTAACGGAAGCCTATGGCAAATGATACATCATTTTAAAGGCCATTTTTTTCTGATTAAGGAGCCACAAGTTTCATCTCAAAAGGACCACCCTAGCAAAAATGGCGACTGTTTGAAATTTAAAAACCTACTTATAGGAAACGTCCTGTGGAGGATGCAGTAAAAAGTTTTAACGGAAGCCTATGGTAAATGATTCATCATTTTGAAGGCCATTTTTTTCTGAGTAAGGAGCCACAAGTTTCATCTCAAAAGGACCACCCTAGCAAAAATGGTGACTGTTTGAAATTTAAAAACATTGCTATTTAATTATAGCAACATCTTTCAATTATTTTCAAAAACTTCAAACAGTCACCATTTTTGCTAGGGTGGTCCTTTTGAGATGAAACTTGTGGCTCCTTACTAAGAAAAAAATGGCCTTTAAAATGATGTATCATTTACCATATGCTTCCATTAAAACTTTTTACTGCATCCTCCACAGGACGTTCCCTATAAGTGGGTTTTTAAATTTCAAACAGTCGCCATTTTTGCTAGGGTGGTCCTTTTGAAATGAAACTTGTGGCTCCTTAATCAGAAAAAAATTGCCTTTAAAATGATGTATCATTTGCCATAGGCTTCCATTAAAACTTTTTACTGCATCCTCCACAGGACGTTCCCTATAAGTGGTAAAAAATTTCATAAGGCACCAAAAGATAGGTAAAACCATAGTATATCCGTACACAAAATATCAGTTGTTTTTCTTTAACCACTCACCAGATATAATGTTGGTTCCAGACATTTTCAACACCCTGTATAGTTTTACCATTTAATGTCGATGTAGGTGTCTAAAGAAGTGTTTTCAACTCGGGTGTTACGTCTGCACCAACTGCATTTTCATTTTTCTTTAATCATAAAACTAACCCTAAAATAATAGAAAATAAATATTGTCGACTTTAGCGATCAGTGTCACCAACATGAACTAGACTTGAAAAACGAGCTTCAAATTTTACTATGAAATTAGAAGTCTACTTGTGTTGGGTTGTCTGTATTAATATGTTGGATTACCCATTTTATCCAAATTACATCAAAATCAGTGAATTGAAAAATGTTGTTAAGAGTTTTTGTGCCAACTACATAAATGTGTAATCTTAACATTTTGAAAAAAAATTTAGTAACTACAGTACTTATGATTGTAAAATTACTGCAAACCTAGGTCAGGTCCCTCAGATGACTAGACCTAGGGGGGTATTTTCTGACACACCAAAGGAGTGTGTTACTGTGGTGTTTGATGGAAAGGTGGTTTGTAGTGATGTGACAGCTTCAGGAGTCTACATGTTGGTGTACACCCTCAGCTGTCAGCAGCTATCAGAGAAGCAGCACTGGGCCATCATGTTGGCTGGGGCTAATGCAGGTAACCGTCCACAATCAGTATTCAGTGTATGTATAAAAGAAAATCATATAACGTAGTTCATTTTTAAACTTTGATCTTCATGATTTGAAAACAAAGTACTGTAGTTGATAATGATAATTTGCCACTTTTTTAAAAACATGCTATTTACAACAATTACGTTGCTTCATACAATTTAATAGTACCGGTATTCTGATTCTGAATGATTTTGCCACATTTTTTATCATAAAAAAAACGCTTCTTGTTGATCAACCGATCATTTGAATACTGGTATTTCTTTTTACTGTGCTTGCATATCATAGGCTTGCTCACAAATGATTCTTTGTAAAAGCATTAAAAGTCTCTTGGTAACAATAATGTTGATTCAGCAATAAAACTAGCCATCAGTTTTATATATATATAGACCTTCCCTTCATAAATAAATTGTGTAGGTGGTTGTTGTGATATTCATTCTCAACAAATTAAGCCAAATCTTCCCTAACATAAAAAAGTTGTTTTTGAAGTGATGTCCTTGTGTGTGTGTGTGTGTGTGTGTGTAGATATGTATAGAGCTACAGACTGCACTTGGGCTCCAATTTAGATTAGATTTGGTATGGGTACTAATCCATATGATATTCCAGTTTTTCTTAATTTTCCCATTTTTTAAATTCTGGTTTTAAGTGGTGATTTTATCATGAAAATCCATTAAAAACAGAATAATTTGGTTTTCACATAAACTCTTAAAGATTTGGATTGCAATTTTAATTTAGTAAGTTATAGTCTTTTTAATTTTGAACAATACGCCCAAAAAAATTTTACAATTTTTGTGCTTTCCCCCATGAAAATTCACAGGTACCCCTTCCCTTTACCCACAAGCTAATTTACCTTATTGTTAGTAGAACACTTTAGTACTAGTACTGCATTCATACTGTATGGTTCTAAAACTTTTTTTGTAAACCTTTTATAAAGTAAAATTAATTTATTTTTGTATTTAACTTTTGATGGTTTATACAATGTAGTGCTAAGTTATTCCAAAGGGATAGAGTGTACTGTGCATGTATTTAAATCTGTGTTTACATGCGTGAGTGTTGTTAAAGGTATGGTGTCCTGGGCTGTGATAGTGCCATTGGATGTTATCAAGTCTCGTATCCAGGCAGATAGTCGGACCCATCCCAAGTACAGAGGTATGGTGGACTGTGCAGTACAGAGCTACCGTACAGATGGTCTCGGAGTGTTTGCAAGAGGCTTCTGGCTCATTATACTACGGTCACTGCCTGTCAACGCAGTCACTTTTGTTGGATATGAGTATCTCATGTCTTTTTGCCAATAATATATCAAAATCTACCAAGGTAGACATATTCCAACCTCACACTTCAATTATTTTATACATTTTTCTCAATAGATACACTCTATAACCAGTGGCGGCTATAAGAACCCGCGGGTCCCCTGCAAGTTTGATAAATATTATCACAGGTATTTCCACCTAAGCTTGCACTTGGACTTGGCATGGCATCACCCGAGGCACCGAGGCGTCATCATCGTCTTCCATGATCACGACAAAATCCTGAATACCTTCATAGGTCACGGAAATATCATAGTTCTCAGTGACCGCGGCAAAATCGTGACTGAATTTCCCGCAGTCACAGAAAAATTATGATTGTCTGCATAGTGACTGCAACCAAACCCTGCTCCTGCGGTCGTGTAGAAAACAATATTTCTTGTGATTGCGGCAAAATCCTAAATATCTTCCATTGTAAACGAAACCTCATCATCGTCTTCTGGGATAGCTTCCAAATCTTGAATATTTTGCACGGTCACCGAAACATAATTATATCGTCTTCTGCAATCTTAGCAAAACCCTGAAACTCTCCCGCGGTCATGTGAACATCATTGTCGTCTTCCGCAATCACAGCAAAATATTGAACTTCTACCGCGGCTGCGGAGATATCATCATCGTCACCCGCGGATGAATGTTCTCATCCGCGGTCGCAGCAAAAGTGTGAATCTTTAAATCAGGTGGGCGATTCTATCACGGTTGTAAAGGTTGGCTCAAAAATCGATACTCTCTATTAAAAATCACCACTTTCCAAAGCAAACCTATTTTGAAGCGACCTGACCGAAACCCGGAGGTAACATTTTTACCTGACTTTAAGTAAACCAACATGGTCCGCAGCCTCCCAAAAGTATTAATGAAAACACAGAACAATTTTTTTGCTAGTGTCCTAAAAAAATTTCCCCAAAAATTGCGGGCCCCTTAGATCCCAGGCCCGCTATCGCCGCCACTGTCTATAACTTGCCAAACATATACTTTGCTAAATGCAATGAAATTCTTTAATGTTAAACAAGTGTTACTACTTACTCCTTGCAATATACAATATGTGACATTTATGTTTTTTTTTTTTTTTTTTACACTGTTGGACGTACACTTATACAGTAGACTCCCCCTTATCCAGACTACTCGGGACCGAGGCCAGTCCAGATAACGGGTTTTCCAGTTAAACCGACATCCCAAAAAACTTGTTAAGTTACCCAAATATTTGACTTAAATTTAGGAGAGCATTGTATTTCTGTTATTGTGATCACTGGTCTCAAATATTTCCCATGAGAAAAGTCGTTTCAGTACCGCCCACTTCCTGCCGATCTAGTCCAGTTAAACCGATGTGCTGATAAAAATTGTTTGGTTAAAGAGATGTCATTCCCGCCGAGTGTTGTCCGGTTAAACCGATGTCCGGTTAAAAGGTGTCCGGATAAGAGGGAGTCTACTGTATACATAACAGCATTCCAGGCACCCTCATTTTCATATTCATGCATAGGTTAGGCATATTCATGCAATCTATGTAAAATATGCTGTTTACAGACAGGTCTCCTAGTCATTAAAAGGTTGTAAAACCAGTTTAAACTAATTATGTGGCAGATATACACAAGACAATTAAGCTGTATATAAAATCTTTCAAAATCATCAAACAAATTTAATGTCCATTGTAGGTTCCTGTTCATGCTAAAGAAATAGTGGTTTTCATCACTAGGAGCAAAAGTGGCTCTCTTTTTGCTAGGCAATCATGTTTTACAATTATTATAAGTTCCAAAAACACACTTTTTTCTGTTTGATGAACAACTATTTTCATCATACTGTCTAGGAAATAATCCTCTAATCATTACAAAATTAGACCATATAATTTGTGGTTGTACAAAGTCTTCATCAATGTTTACATTTTGGTTGTTTATAAACATAACGTAAAATATCCTTTGATTAGCAAACAAAATTATAATGTGGCATGAACAAATTTAGATGTTAGCAAACCAAAAAAATTCCCATATAATGTTTTTTTTTCTGTTCCCTCTATTTGAAGTTACCCGAAAACGATGATTTTGTGGACGATTTAGAGAACTAAAAGCAGCTGTTTTCCAGACAGTTTGATGAAAAAAATTGTTTTATAGTTTATGAATGTTTATTAGTTTAACTTTTATAAATGGTACATAAAAACAAATATCAGTGAATTTAATTTTACTGTAGGAATATGATGATATAAATTTCTATTAGATATATAATTTATACAGAGTGTCTTGCAACCATATCAACAAACTTTGTCATGTTATTCAACGTATCAAAAGAAACAATAGTACATTTTGTACCTAGGGCCGAAAATGAGGTTTTGCTGGCTCGAGATAGTTTTAAAGCTCGAGACGAAGCAAGGGCGGTCCTAGACATTTATTTTGGGGGGGGGGTCACTGGGGGGGCTGGGGGTATGGAATACCCCCCAGCAAAGGAGGGGGGTTTAATATGCATTAATGTTTTAAGAAAGTAAGCGGGCAGTTGATTTTCGGCCATAGGGATGTAAAAACCTGCTCGTTAACAAATTACAATGACAGCTGGAATGGACTGGACAGCAATAAGTAGCTTTCTGACTCAAATAAACGTTTTTGAAACGGCTAAAAACATTGTAGTGTGGTGAAAAAAATGTCATATAACATGTGTCCTATCTCATTCCCTTTTCGGTCCATCTCTCTGTATGTGATTTTTACAAAAATATTCATAACTCATTAACTGTTTGAGCTGTGGCGTTGAAATCCTGTAAAAATTTTTATCTTATAGACCACTATGTTAGAGCAAAATATGAATAAAAAATCTTTAAGCATTTAAAAATGGTGCCTTTTAAAAATATTTGATTCAAATTCTATAAAAACCGTTATTTTACAAAATATTTTTAAAATCAGCCATTTTTTAATGGTAAAGCATTTTTATTCACATTTTGCACAAATATAGTGGTCTATAAGATTAACATTTTTACAGAATTTCAATGCCGTAGCTCAAACAGTTAATGAGTTATCAATATTTTTGTAAACATCACATACAGACAGATAGACCGAAAACGGAATGAGATAGGTCACATGTTTATGTTACATTTATTTTTCCTTTTCTTTCACATGCTCTATAACGGGACAATGTTTGTTCATATGATTGTTAGACACCCTGTATATAGATTCTTTGGAAAGGTAGCATTTTGTAGACCAGTGAATTTTTTTTTATTTTAATGGTTTTAAGTAGCACAATACTTTAATACTTTTAATATTTTTCATTGAAATGACGAATATACCATGTGACTGTATGTTAGAGAAAACATACCTAACTGATTCAATATTAATATTAAAATCCTTATTTTGTACAGCAATTCACACTATAAAAGCCTATCATCCTAAATGAATGAATAATTGAATGAATTTCAGCAACAAATACAATTTCCAACACAATAATTACCAGTACTTGGAGTTTGGTCTTTAGTTTAGAACATAACTTCAATTCTACACAAGGAGGGTGATGATTGTGAAATTAATAAATAAATGTTTATGGCTTGCAATTAAGATACTATTGTGAAATGTATTTCATTATGAAAGGCAACATATAAAAGTTGTACTATAAAAAGTTTGATAAAGTAAAACAAATATAATTTTTATTTGGACCTTCAAGCCAACAAAAAGCCAAGGTTGTGGCATAAGGTTGTTGTTAGTGGTGATTTTTCTGTCACGAACATCGATTTGACTAAAGAGGTAGGCCTACATTCGTCCATCAGTGTTTATAATACATTTTGGCATATTTCTATTATTTTATAATTGATGTGTCTGAATATATAGCAAATAAATTGCATTTAAAAATAACCATGGTATGGTACAAAATATTGCTTCTCTATCCTAAGTAGTATTTTAAGTAATTTCACTGTAATATGTAGTTTTATTTAAATTTCTGATTACTGTGAACGTTTGTTGTTTTTTTTTTTTTTTTATTTTTTTTTAGATATTCCACTTACTTTACACTCTACTTATAATACCAGAGTGAAAATTTAAACGTTTTTAAGAAAAACAGTGTTTCTCTTTTTCTCAAAACTTTTTGTTTTTTATATTTCATTGACATTTGAAGTTTCATATACCCCCACCGCAGCAAACCTGCAGACTAAGCGAATTTCCATTTGCCTGATTGGATTTACATTAAAATGTCTCCTTAAAAATATCACATTTATTCCCTATTTAAATAACATTAGTTTAACAAGTACTTAGGTTTAGTGCAACAGGGAGGGTAAAAGGGTTTTTTTTTTGTAAAATGTTAATATTTTAGTATGAAATGAATGCATTTACCAAATTTGATCAAAATATGATCATAAACAAGCAAACTACAACAGTTTACTTATTCTCCATAAGAATAACATGGGAATTTTAAATTTAGTTTTTTGGAATTTTCTCCGTAACCATTAGGCGCATAATAACGCTTCAATATACTAAATTATTTATTTTTTTAACCTCTACAAAATGGTTTAAAAAGAAAATGCTAAATTTTAAGTTTTTAGGTCCAAAAATGGGAAAACCCAATTTTTGTCCCATTAAACCCCCATAAACCCCTGTTCCCATAGTCCGATCATGCTGGTTCGCGAACTCGTTCGAATACACGTAGGTTTACACGTTTGTACCAAATTTCATCAAAATCGGATGATTTTTGCTTGAGTTAATCACACTATGGACACCCATATAAATATATATATATGAATTTGAACGGATTGTGTTTTTGGTTTCTAGGGACCTCAAAACGAAAAAGTAAATCGGTCCCGGGCCCAGGTCTTACCATGAGTACTACGGTAATAGCTTATTCCCTATAGGGGAAATTTGCTAAAAGCTAAAAATTCTCTTTAAGTTTGTATAATTCTGAAAAAAAAAACTTAATACCAATATATGAAAACCCTTAATTTTTTTTAAAGAAGCACCCTTCTTTAGTGTATAAAACATTGGAATATGATGATATATACATTTTTGATTTTTTTTATCCAAATCATGAACTTTATGGTCAGGGAAAAGTGTTACTGTCTGGAATTGATGATTAACGAGAATCACTAAATTCTTTGTTTGGGTTTTTATTCCACACTACTCTTATTCTTATAATATTTCACAAGACTTGATAAACCATAATTTATTTTTATTACATAATAGGTTTTTATATATAAGCGTTACCTAATACAGGGTGGTGCAATGAAAGCACCCCAATTAATAAGTAGTGTAAACTCAATAATATTCACCCTAATAAATAGCACATCAAAACACAGCTTATCTTTTGCCATTTGAACTTAACAAAAGTCATTTTTTCCATTTCTTGAAATCAAAATCCTGCAATTGACGTCCTTGTCCTACTTGACATTCCTCGTTAGTCACTTGAAAACTCCATCAAATACTCCTCCAGCATTTCTTCAGGAATCACTTTAGTTTTAGGACAATTCTTAGCTTCGGTTCAAGCAAATCTGTGGGGTGACTTTGTAAAGCATCGAACTTCAAGTAGGTTATTAGAATAACACCCCCCCACTCCCAAAAAAAAGGGAGCCAACGTAAAGCTTTCAACAACAAAAGCTTCCTGGCAAATCTCTTTGGACTTTAAGTTTCTGCGACTCGCACACTCTATCAACATTTGTCGGTGTACCAAGAGTTTTGCGGTACCCACCGATTATTTTTAAGGTTTAAGCGTTTGTCCTATTTAACTGGGTAAAATCATTTTACCCAGTTCACCACTGTTTTCCAATCTGGAACAGCGCCATGTTGACCAAGGATGGAATGTGGTCCAAACAATCTCTGGGTTATTTAAAAAATATGTTTCCACATCAAAATCTCAGTGTTAATAGCCTCAGGCATAATATTTACTAAAATGGCATAGTTTGATTGATGTTATAAGCACAGCTGTTCATTCATTGTTGTTTTACTAATAGTGTGACAACGAAAGAAAATTGGGGTGCTCTCACTACCTCACCCTGTATAAGGTAATAAAAATACCTGTCAATGTAAACATAGTTCAAAATCTAAAGTTTTTTACATCCTTCAATTAAGTTAATTGTACTGTTATAAGAAAAATTTGTATTTCAATTAAACTAATCTTCGCAATTTACAATAATAAATTTATTTTCACGGCCATAACTCAGTACAATTTATAAGGCTATTTTGGTCTTGAAAAAACCCGTGTCTTGACACGCCGATCATGAAAATGATGTATTGGCTCTTTTCTGGTGGCAGCCCTAGACCTCATGTTTGAGGAGGCAAAGTGGATTTCTAGGTTAAGGTAACAATTAAAATATAATATCAACAAAAATTAACACCATGTCTACTTCATCAAATGATCGTGGACACAACAAAATTACAAAAACCACAAACTTACCTTCATTAATATCGTACATCCTTTTTTTTACTACAAAACCACCGGCACAACAAAACTAACGCACATCCCAAATCAGTCTCTAAAACCAACTGACGCTATTGCCGTCAGGCTTACCACTGTCATGTTCCAAAGTTGCAAATTTTTCCATTATGGTCAGGACGTCAAATCGAGGGAAAGACTTATTTTGTCATGGTAGTCAGTTCGCAATGAAACCAAAATTATTATATGCTCCTTCTTTGTAAGTTTAATAACAATTGATGACATAAAAATATGGCATTATATATTTCGGCATTAATAATTTCTCTAAAGACAACGTGAAAGTTGAAAAATGTACCTTAGGGTCTGGTGAAGGTAGAATGAAATGGTTAAGGTCGTGAATTTTGTTACTTTAAAAATACAAAAAAATACCGGTACCTAAAACTTATTTAATAAAAAATACCTAAATGTTTGTAACATGTTGCCCCTGTCCCAAAAAATATAAAGTATTTACAAAATAAAAGGCAATGGACATTAAAACGTACGTTTCAAAATTTTCACTCACCAATACCAGCAAACCCCCAAACCAGACTAAGCAAAATGTCCATATCTCTGATTGGATTTGTACTATTACATGTTCTTATACTATATACTATACTATACCGGTATGTCAGATTATTCCCTCCCTATTTAAATTGAATTAGGTTTTTAACAAATAACTACCTAAGTTTGCTGCTACACAGACAGAATGAAAAAGTGTTTTATTACTAATACTGATATTAAAACGTAAAAATGAGGCACACCTTGATAAGCTTATCCATATTTTACAAAATAATAAAAATTGTGATATTTGAGCTATTTATTTTTTCAATCTTTTTTTACTTGGTCTCATTTCATAAGGAATATTAACCGCTAAATGAAAGTGTTATTAACATTTTACGTTGAATCACCCAAAGTTAAAATGGGCTAAAAATAAAGTTATAAAAAGTCCTCATAACTTTAGAACGGATCAAGATTTTTAAAAACTAATTGTGGCATTGTAATCAGCGTAAAATTCTAATTTGAAATAATGGGTCACAACCCATTATGATAAAAAACTTTGTATCCAATATGGCGGATCCAAGATGGCGGCCAAAAATGTATACCCAGTCAAAATTAAGTACTTACTACAGTACTCTACAATGATCTGATGTGGTCCGGAGTTGATATCTTAAGAAATGTAGAAAAAAGTAGGGGGGAACTCATTTAAAACTCACCCTGTATATATATATATATATATATGTATATGAATTTGAACGGATGGTGTTTTTGGCTTCTAGGGAAAAATGAAAAAGTAAATCGGTCCTGGGTCCAAGTCTTACCATGAGACCTATGGTAATAGCTTATTCCCTATATGGGAAATTTGCTAAAACGTATATGAATTGTATTGGTACCTAATTTAAAATAATTATAGGTATGTTTTATAAATTGGCAATTTTAACCTTTTCCTATAGGGAAAAATACTTACTTTTGCTAACATCCAGTTTTGGCTATTTTTAGCTATCATCATAATTAAATTCGTAACCTGATAAAAAATAAATGAAAATGTATTAAACGAATCTGGTTATCGATCCGACACTGATCTTGTCACAAATCAGCAAGGATCATCTAAGATTAATCACCATGGTCCATGAATGATTGATTGAGCATTACACACACCTTGGCTGTGTAGAGGCTACATTGCACTGTCCAGTGTCCGCTACCAAGGACACGACCCTGTCGTTCCGTTCACGCTCTGCTGACCAAAGGAGTTCCTCCAGGAATAACACTGGAACCATCTTTGTATCCTTTCCACTCCGGAGCACATCGTTTGCACATTTCCGACACCCACCATTCTTTTGTTGAGGTATGTACGCCACATTTCTTACTTTTAAAAATTTATATTTAAAAGTTAAGATGAATGCTTTTTTTAGTTAGAAAACGGGATAAATAGCACATGTAGCATATTAATCTGAATTTTAAAATCATGTTTTCTTTAATATCCTTTGTCCTTACAAGTCCTTATTGCTGTGAGGGACTGTGTTTATAACTATAGCTAGAGGCTTAACTCACGTGGTGATAATATTGAACAGCAGTTTTGGGCCTTCTACAACTAGAATGACAGTCGTGACCATTATTGTATTACAGTAGTATATTATTCAGTACTTAAAATAGTTCAGTATTAGTATCATAAAAGTTTGGGTTACAGTGACTCTCTGAATTTGTAATGAACTTAGTTGCATTTCATGAAAAATACTTGTACCAGTCACATCATGGGCATTATGCTTAGTATTGCATAATAGGTATACCGGACCCCTTTCAAAACGATGAAAACCTTTTCTTATAAACAAAAAATAATACAGAACTAGCTAAATTGGGTACGGTCTACCAAATGGTGATAATTTCAAATCCAAAATCACACCGGAAGTGGATTTTTCAGACCGGAAGTTGACTTTTTTAAATGTAAGCTATCAATTTTGATAACAGAATCGGATTCTACGTTGAAAAATACATAACTTTTGTATAAAACATAAAAAAAAAAAAAATGTTTTCTACCTCTAATCCCCTATTAAAGTCAATAATTTTGGGTCATTCATCTGCCAAAGTTACTTGAAACAATAATAGAGAAAAATCAAATAATAAAGATTACATAAAGACATGTGATAAATAGAATCAGCTGTTCATTGTAAACACTATAGTAATTGAGTAACAGCTGGTCTACACATTGCTTAGTTTCATTTTATTTTAAAAATAAATCATTTGTTTTTACATTAAAGTGGTCAAATGTAAAAAACAAATGATTACAAAAAAAATTAAATCACAGAGAAGTAAGCAATGTGTAGACCAGCTGTTACTCAATTACTAAGGTGTTTACAATAAACAGCTGATTCTATTCATCATATGTCTTAATGTAATCTTTATTATTTGTTTTCTCTATTATTGTTTCAAGTAACTTTGGCAGATGAATGACCCAAAATTATTGACTTTAATAGGAGATTAGAGGTAGAAAACATGTTTTTTAAAAAAAATGTTTGAGATAGAAGTTATGTATTTTTCAACGTAGAATTCGATTCTGTAATCAAAATTGGTAGTTTCCATTTAAAAAAGTCAACTTCCGGTCTGAAAAAGCCACTTCTGGTTTGATTTTGTATTTGAAAATATCACCATTTGGTAGATCGTGCCCAATTTACCTAGTTCTGTTTTATTTGTTGTTTGTAAGAAAAGGGTTCCCTCGTTTTTAAAGGGGTGTACGGGTGGTTTTGGACACCCGGTATACAAATTACAAATGTAGTAAAAATCTCAATACAGTATATTTCACTTTATCACATTTCAATCAATGTATGTTACTGTGGAACAATGTTATATTGAATTAAATACTTTAGATGGCAGCCGTGGTTGTAATTCTGCTGGTGGCTTGTGTTTGTGTGACAAGTATGAGGGCCTCACATTACCCCTCTGCCCCTCAGTACACTTGGGCCCCCCGCCAGGCTCTACCTCCGACGCATGCACCCCCTCAGTACACTTGGGCCCCCCGCCAGGCTCTACCTCCGACGCATGCACCCCCTCAGCAATACCAGAAGGGCCAAGTCACTGCTTCAGGCTATAATGGTAAATACATCAACTGTAAAAGCTACAGGTTACTATAGAATTATGCTATGGGTTAGGATGAGGATGAAAATATCAGTGAAAAACATTTGATCAAGTTATTTATTTTATTATCTGAACCAGGATAATTCAGAGTTCTAATATTAAGACATGAGGACTGAGCATGTCAAATAATAAGGTGTCTACGCAAAAACATTTGTTTTATACTAATCAACCTTTAAGGTTACAGTTACAGTACCTACATTCACTCTCATAAAGGTCCTAATAAATTGAGTTAATTAGGATTATTCCAAGCGCACGTTTTGCATGTGATGCACTATGGGCCGAAGGGATAATTGTGCCCCTCTCCACGTACCTTGTGGGGAAATTTTACTCTTCCTTGCCCTTGACCTTCTGCCCCCTGGGTTTGTGCCCATTAAATGAACAGCCTACAGCAAAAGAGAACTGATCATACATAATAATTATTAGTTTCAGTGTTTGAAACAGAAAATTACTGAAACTCATTTCTAAGAATTCCATAAAGAGATTTCTTACCTATGACCGATTTACACACAGCATCTGCTAGATATAGATCAAGTGTGGTTACCTACTAATAAAATGTTGTATATTTGTATTTTCAGTAATTGTTTTATTAATTACCAACCCATTAATATTTGTGGTAGGTTCACCAGGTTTCTGGTACGGCAGTTCATCAAAGGGAGACAATTGGAGCTACAACCGACTGCCAGCATCAGGTTACGCTGGTAGCTTGTACAAGAACGAGCGAGTGGACAAACTCTCTGGACCCTCAGCCAATGAGGGGCGAGTGTCTGGCAAGGCAATGGCCGCTGGGGGATACTCTAAGTATGGTTTTTGTATGGTACTCATATAAATGTTAGAAATTAAATACACTGCACAATATTCATGAGCTAATTACATTGAAAAGTAGTACGTTGTTAGTAAAAACAGAACCAAAATCAAACACAAGAAGATAAATATTAAGGTTTACAGAGCCAAAAGGGGTAAATACTTTTATCGACAGAAGATAAGTGACCTTGGTGACTTGTACTGAAAGCTGGTAGATTTTAAAAGATTTAAACCCAGTTCATTCAAATTGTCAGATAAATGGTGCTACAGGATTGGGGACTTTTTCAATTAGTTATTAGTATTTCAAACCAATAGTTTGTTGTAATGGTTGTACCGTAAGTAGTTGTAAGGTAGAAAGTGTATACATATAGATTATAGCTCTTATGCTGTAAATATGCCATGCCAAATGTATGTTTCACTATTGACTTGACTCAATTCATGTATACAAAAGTACTGTTTGAATAAAGGATTTTTTTATTTTATTTGATTTGAGTATAGTATTGAATATTGTGGATGGTTTTGAACAGATTGAACTGTAATTAGCTTATATTTAGTATAAAATAAAAGCTCTGACTCCCTAGATGTGTGGTTACAGCTAAACTTACAATTGGCTTAAAATACCTACATTCGGATAGTCGCCATTTCAGATTAAAGTACTGTATTAAAAATTAAAACACCTTTCCTCATTGGCTATCAAACTTTTTGGGTTTTTCGATAGCAAAATAATTCACTCAATTAAACAAAAGCAATTAAACAAAGGTAAGAAAACACAATACTGTACTCATGTTTTCTTTTTGCTTAGTATTATTTATTCAAAATTTAAAATGTAATAAAATTTGATCAGCTTACCTTTAATGATTCATTTGAACAACAATAAAGTGCAATAAATAAATTGGCAATAATAAGTGAACTTAAAAAAAAAGTAAAATATCAAAGCATACATGTTTTAAACCCTTAGCTGTGATATAACTAAAAATAAGTTTTAGCTTCATCTACAGCTCAACCAGTTAAGCTTGCGTGCTTTTGCGTTACGGCCGTTTCGGAATTACAATTCCATCATAGACATCTTAAGATGAAGCAGGGTCGTCAGAGTAGGACATCCAGTTCAGATCATGTCAATCAGTACCATGTGTGCGACAGGCCTGTTTAATTATGCATGTTAATTGTGAAATGTAGTTTGTGTTATGTAATTTTACTGTAACAACGTTGCTGTAGATAAAAACACTGTAGGTAAAACTTATTTTCCTACAGTCACCCGACAAAGTTGGCTTCCTTGTACTGTTTATAGTACAGAAAGCTGGTAATTGCTGCATATTTATACTTTGCCGTACGGTTTATACTTTGTCGTACGGTTTATACTTTGCCGCATATCAGGATTCCAACGAAACAACACAAAATAGCGTGGTTCTATTATGCACGTAATCCGTGTACGCTTGGAAATAGGTTGGCAACACTTAAAGATAATAATACTATGAGCAGCTGATTGACTATTATAACTACGATTTACCTTGTCATTTTGTGTTTATAGTTTCGGTATTTCTGAACTTTTCTTTTCATTCCTATGATCTTAATAAACAAGAAAATACCTTATAAAGCATTTTTTTTTAGGCGCGGAAACCACTTCAAATTACAAAAACATACGGAACTATATTCTCAAAACGCGGAGCACATTTCTTGCCGAGGAAAAATAGCGGAGTGATACGGACCGGGTACTACTTTCTCTAGGGCACCTATTTGTGTTGCCAGCTGAACCTAAAAACGTGTTGTATAGTGTTTGAAAGACGAATTATTTATATGCTTTATAGTGACTGTAGGAAAAATATAATGTGTAACACGAGTGCAAAAGGCCTTTGCTGCACTCGAGATCATTCCGCACGAGCCACTGCTCTCATGTGCAGCAAAGTGCCACTTTGCCCACTAGTTACACAAATAACTATTTCAGCATTAATTAACACATGTTTTTATTGCAACTATCAAACCTATAATTTTTTATCATAGGGAACCTTAAAGAGCAACCTACACTACACAACATTTTTATTTAAAGCCAAATATTTGTGTACGTGATAAAACGAGAGTGTTGCACATCCGATTAGATTAACCCACTGTATTTCAGCTGATTTACATATCAAGTTAAATAAATAAAGATCTTTATTCATGAGCGAATTTCAGTAACGTTTTACAAATTGACTCAAGTCAGGACTAAAACTAAACAAAAATTCTTAACACTACAAAACAAAATCATCATGCGCTCGATCCGCCATGTTACGGTGATAATGGTCAACAATCAAATGAACCAGTTGTTATTTAGCTTGGAACACTGGAGAAACAAAATGCCCCTGCATGTTATTTTATTTGAGTTGCAATTCCAATGATTTGAACAGATGTAGGATGTACAGTTGTACTTTGTACTTGATTAAACACTTCAATAGTGATGTGCATATCGATACAAGGAACGCAAAAATATCGATATTTTGTATCGATAAGTGGGAGTGTATTGATATGCCCGTATCAATACACCTATAGCCAATATTGTATCGAATATGGTATTGTTTATTTATTAATATAAATCTTATTTTTATGGTAAGAAATTTGTCTTGCCCATCTTCCTCCCCTCAAAAGTAGTAGTGGAAATTTGATATTTTACCCTAGCATCTTCAAAAGCACTGATAAAACATGTATTTTCAGCTATGTTTTGCAAATAACCTCAAAACCAGGGCCGATTTACCAAATAGGCACGGTAGGCACGTGCCTAGGGCGCGAGGCAATTGGCTTTTTTTGGGGGCGCCAAAAATTTGGAAATTAAAAAAAAGTTTGTGGTAGTATTTGCATGCTATCGCGGTAAACTTCTGATAACCCCTCGCGGCCGTGTAGGCATCGTATTCGTCCCGCGTTTGCGGCAAGATTCTTACTATTTTCTGCAGTCAGGTCATTTGGACATAAAATTGTCTTCCATGATCGAGGCAATATATGAACATATCCCGCGGTCGTGAGGAGATTATCATCGTCTACCGCAAATGAGGCAAAATTCTGATATTTTCCCGCGGTCGTGAGGACATTATCCTCGTCTTGTGCGATCGCGGTCAAATTCTGACCACCCCTCGCGGCCGTGGAGACATCTTATCGTCCCCCGCGGTCGTGTGGACATAGTAATCACCTCCCGCGATTGTGGCAAAATAGTAATAATCTCCTGCGGACATATGGAGATAATCGTCTTCGGCGAATGAGGCAAAATTCTTATCTTTTCCTGCGGTCATTTGGACATTATCATCGTCTTGAGCAATCACGGCATTATTGTATTCCGCGGTCCTGTAGACATCGTAATCGTTTCCCGCAGTTGTGAAGACATCGTTATCGGCTCCCGCGATTGCGGTAAAATGTTAATAATGTCCTCCAGTCGTGTGGAGATCATCATCGTCTTCTACGATCGCGGCAAAATTCTTGCTGTTTCCCGCGGTCGTGTGGACATTATCATCGTCTTCCGTGAACGCGGCAATATTCTGATCATCCCTCTTGGCCGTGTAGAAATAGTCATTGTATCACCCGCGGTCCTGTAGATATCGTACGTATCCCGCAGTCATGAATCCATGGTAATCGTCTCCTGCGATTGCGGCAAAATTTTAATCATGTCCTGCAGTTTTGTGGAGATCATCATCGTCTTCCGCGATCACGGCAAAGTTCTTGCGGTTTCCCGCGGTCGTGTGGACATTATCGTCATCTTCCATGATTGTGGCAATATTCTGATCATCCGTTGCGGCTCTGTAGATACCATTATCGTCTTCTGCGATCGCGGAAAATTCTGATCATCCCTCGCGGCCGTGTGTAGACATATTATCGTCTCCTGCGGAAACGTCACTGTTGTCATGCGCGATCACGGAAAATTGAAAACTCCAGGTAGAAATACAAAATTCACGGTTCAAAAATCTCCCACATGATTCCCGGATTTCCCGATCGGTGTACACCCTGTTATATATATATATATATATTGCAAAGGGGCGCTACTATTAGACGTGCCTAGGGCGCTGACAGGGTCAAAAACGGGCCTGCTCAAAACTAGGGCCACCATTAATGGAAGTGGTGACCCTCATTATCCATATTATACTATTTAATGTGTAAGTGACATACCCACCATCATTATTAGTACTTTTTATCCCCGTGTAAAAATAACTAGGAAAACAAAAACAAAATGTTTTCCAATTTTGAGGGTTTGCCGAAATTTGGAGGTTATGTATGTGTATGTTTGATACAAATAAAAAGATACAGAAAGGAAATGGCTTTTCTGAGGTAAGATTACAAGCACTAAAGCCTCGTTCACACGGGGCGAGTTTACACGCTACTCGCCGGTGTGTAAGAAGCCGGGCTACTTTACACGCCTACTCGCTCAAAAGCTGGCGAGTTGGCGTGTAAAGTAGCGGCAGCGGCAGCGGCAACATTTTCCAGAGCTTTTTTACAAGCAGCTTTTGAGCGAGTACGTCGTTCACACTGAGCTTGAGCTATTTTACTAGCTGCGTGTAAAAAATCTGGCTTGTAGCTTGTAAACTCGCCCCGTGTGAACGGGGCTTTACCCTCTTTACAAGCTTGTAAGTAACATAGTATTTGTCAATGCAGCTTGTATATTTGAGATATTTAAATTAAAAAAAAAAAATATAAAAAAACAATACGATACGATATTTTATCCGATACAGATAAAAATCGATACATGAGGATAAAATATCGTATCGTATTGTTTATTTATAATTTTTTTTAAATTTTGTTTTAAATAGACCCGTATTGCACATCACTACACTTCAAAATGCTGTTTGATTAACACAATATTAAAAGATATACAAAAGACAAGTTTTACTGATAAACAAATGATTTGCAGATTTACAACCAACTACCAGGATCCTCTACATTCAAGGTATGGAAGCTTTACTATACCTCCGAAAAAATCTCAAGACTTTGGAAGGTACGGAGGATACCGTAACATAGGTTTCTATGGAGCCAAAGGACCAGCTGTTCCTCACTATCAGCAGACTGGAGGTGCTCCACTCAACATTCCGCCCTTCAGAGGAAGTCGAATATATGAAGGGGCTGTGGGTTTGAGGCACAATCAAACCAAGAAAACGGGGGTTTATGTTATTCCAACTCCATCGAAATTATATTACGATGGAGTTAAAATCTAGCTTAAGTGTGATTTTGGTTCCAAAAGCCATTGCCAGAAGGGTATGGTGCTTTTTGGACAGTTAGTTTGGTGCTTACTTTTGTTCTAAATGTTTTTAATCAATGTGTTTTTAATAATACAATTTTTGTTGGTTGGATTTTTATTTCATTATGGCAAATTTCCTGTAACTAGTATCAGTGGCGTTGCTTGGTTAAATTTTAGGGGGGGAAGAAGGCTCAAATTTCGTAATTGCTTAACATAGATTTCCCAACTATTTTTTAGCAAATTTCCATATAGGGAAGTACTGTAGTTATTACCGTAGGTGGCACAGGAAGACCTAGACCCGGGGCAAATTTACTTTTTCATTTTGATGTCTCCAGAGGCAAAAAAAAAATTCGTTCACATTTTTATATATGTATATATACGTCCAAGAAAGCGATAACCTGAATAATTTTTCTCAGATTTTAATGACCTTTGGTTTAAAGGTGTAAGGTGGGATAAACTTGAATGAGTTCCCAAATCAGCATGATCGAACCATGGTAACGGGGTTTTACGGGGGGATTTTATGGGGGTAAAAAATGGGTTTTCTCATTTTTGACCCTCAAAACACAAAACTTCTTTACTCCTCTAGACCTTTTTAAGGAGTAAAAAAAAGTAGTACCGGTATATCAAAGTGTTTTTGACGGTTATTGGTAACGGAGAAAGTTCTAAACATTTCCAATTAAAAATGTCCACGTTATTCTTATGGAGAATAATGTAAAATGTTGTAGTTTGCTCGTTTGATAAGTGCAGTGCACCCATATTTTGATCAAACTAGGCAAATCTATTTCTTTTATACTAAGCTATTAATATTTTACTAAAAAATACACTTAATTAGTTTCCTTGTAGCAGCGAACCTAAGTACTCATTAAACATAATGTTTTTTTTTTTAAATAGAATTAATTAAAAATTAATTCAGATAAATGGAAATTCGCTTAGTCAGCAAGTTTGCTGCGGCAGTGATATTATTTTAAATAAAGAGTTTAGCTGTGACAATGGATTTTTTGCGACAATGGAATTTTTTTTTGGGGGGGGGGCTTTTGTCGGAAGATTTTGAGGGGATATTTTTTTGCTAGCTGTCATAATGAATGTAGAATTTTTTATTCTACAAACAACAGCCCGAAAAAGTGTTTCTAAGTAGTTCACTATCAACACCAACAACATTTTGCTTTTCGTAATTAAGATTCCTTCTAAAAATGGCAAAAACGCCCCTAATCAGACAATCCTTAACATGTACGGTAGTGACGAATTTGACTTGCTACATATGTTTTGGTTCTTTAACTCCACCATCCTCATGCTTACAAAAGGATCCACTTCTGGAGGTGTCATACGTTACAAACACTGAACCCGAAACGATTACAGATATGCCCACGAAATGATTACAGATCAATTCACGCGTGTACATTACCGCGTATGGGTCTGGAAGTAGACTGAATCAGGTTGACAGACCGACGTAGTCTCTGGATTGTCATCGGCGTTTTCAACAGCTGATATTGGACAATTGTAGTGACTAAGAAGAGTGTTGAAAATATAATGGGATTCATAATTAATTGAGTATTTTCATTCAAAATTTCTGTCTCTAGTTTTTATATCTTTATATATTTCAAACTCTTCCAAAGTATATAATACATTTCTTTCCTGCAGTAATGTAGAATGTCAGGACCATTATTTATATCCAGCATATAAATTGGTTATTATTGTCAATAATTTTGAATGGAAAACTCAATTATGAATCCCATTACATTTTCAAAACACTCTCCAATGTCAGCTGCTGTTGATAACACCAACGATATACAACACTCCTGGATTGCGCCCGACTGTGCAGTGGCGGACTCAGTTTTCGGTCCGGCTTCCACCACCACCGCATGGCAACGGTGGAACAGCGCTGTCACGATTGCCATATGATGCCCTGCGTCTGTGCTTACCTGCAACGATGTACATACGTTACATTTTACACGTTGAAGAAAAAATTTAAATCTCCAAAAATTTAATTGCAGCCTTAGAAAATAATTTTTTGGGGTTCCCTCTGGAAATTTTGCTGAATAAATTTGAAAATAAAGGTAAACTGTTGAATTTTTTTGTGCAGTAAATCGACTCATAAATATAAATTTTTAGAGGCATATAGGGTATCAATTTAAAGCTCTTATCCTCTGTGCCTTTTGCAGGTTTGGATGATTCATGAAAGCCCTTTGTCGTACAGCTTTTAAACTTTCAGAGATTTCGCTGAATTTTGTTGTAAATTATCTGAACTGTTTCAAGTTTACTTTTGTTTACATCAAAACAGATGGCCATAATACAATTTTGTTTACATCCACATGAAAATGAGGTTATCTGTTAGTTGGTGATGTTTTGGTGAATTCAAGTAAAACATAGCCTAATGCTATTTGTATGAAATTTAAAAAAGAAAATGACTTTTGTTGGATTTTGTGTTTTCATAGTATGTTTTGTTGATGCTTTAGGTAATTTATTTTTTTAATATTGTAACTTTATTTAATTAAAATGTAAAGAAGAGATTTTGTGTTTTTATAGTATATTTTATTAGCATTTGTATTACTATAAGATGCCTCGAAGAGATCGTGCACACAATGAAAATAATAAAGATATGATGAGAAATAATAGTTTTCACCCCTATTTTCAAGTATATATCATAGATTTTTAAGACGCGAGGTGACAAAGGCTGCTAGTTTTAAAAGTTATAAGAATTTAAGAAGCCTTAATGTAACCCTGCCAAACCCGTCATTTCTGAGATAGTGGATATATAAATTCAACTGTTCACCTGGATTTTTATAAGGGTTTTTGTACTTCAAAACAATGTTAACGAAAAGAAATATTTGAAATATGTTAGCCTAACATTTGATGCAATGAGCATTAGAAAATAAGTTTTTTATGACCATAAGTAAGGAAAAAATATTGGTTAAAAACTTTGATTTAGGTGGACTGATAATCCCAAAAAGTTAGCAACGGAAGCACTGGTATTTCGAGTACGAGTTTCTTTAAGTACTAGGTTTAAGCATAGACTAACCAAGACTAATGGAGTATGTTTTATCTATGGATTAAGTGTGTAGTTGGGTATTACTTTATCAACAAAATCTCTGCTGTAACTTTATCGCAGTCAGTGAAAATGTGTACGATGACAATCTAAGTTACTACACTCAGTTTACGGATTATATGTAACTAAAGGAAAGTTATTTAGGGGTCATGATGATTGTTAAGTTTATTCATCAGTCATTGGTAGAGCAATTCCATGAGCGAGAAAATTGCAACACCAATGAGATAAGAGGACGTACTTGCAATTACTTCATGGGATCTGTTTTTAAGGGCCACAAAGCAAATGATTCTTTTATATCACATGAATTTCTATTAATTAAGGTGATATGTAATTATTTTTACAAAGTGTATTGCCACCATGTTGCCAAAGAAAAGACCATTGTAAATATTTCAAGTATAGGCCTAAGGCAAAAACTGACCAAACACGTGTTCAAAAATATTTAAAACGTTGGGTTTGTTAGTTGTTCAAAATATTATCGAAATAAATTAAGGTTTAAAAAGACTGTGTAGTTGTTTTTTTTTTTTATATTTTAAATACAATAAAATAACCTATCTGCATTAAGTTTAAACCAATAATAACCCTAAAATGGTTGAAAAAGTGATATTTATGAATTCACTTTTAGAGAGTTTAAAGTAATTATTATTTTGTAAACAAACCCGAAATATGGAGAGTGAACTTAGGAAAAAAGGTTAGAAATACAATAGCATTATTTAAACCCAATATTAACCGACCAGGACGCAGCTAAAGGGAGGCGTTTTTTAATGGTGAGTGCAGGGCAGCAGTGTCTTTTGCCATGCAGTGGTGGGGGGAGCGTCGGACCGCCGGGCAAACACAGTGGGCTCAATCCAGGATTGTTGTATATCGTTGGATAACACAGACGACAATCCAGAGACCACATCAGTCCGTCATAGGCATTATCTGCATGAATAGATAGGCATGCCTGTTATAGTTTCGTGTTTTGTGTTTAATGTTTGTAACATATTCTGGCAACGATGGTGGAGTTAAAGAACCGCCAAAACGTATGTAACAAGTAAAATTCGACACTACCGTACAGATTAAGGATTGTCTGACAAGATGCGTTTCTACCATAATTAGTAAAAAATATGCAATCCTGGGGCTATTTCTTAGTATAAAGGGTGTTTCAGTAAAGCGTAGCGGGCTATGCAGATTCAGATTCTACATGCAAAAATAAGTCGAAAATGTTAAATAACTTTTTTTCGATTTCGTCTTAGTTTGGCCGTAATCCGCCATTTTGTATTTTTTTTTATAATTAATAACTCAAAAGCCCTTAGGGATATTTTTATAAAACTTGGTATTAACTTTCAGTCTACAGGTATAAACATTCTCCAAAAATATCTTTGATCTGGCTCATCAAATTTCAAAATGGCGGCCATTTAAAATTTTTAAAGTAATACTGTATGAAAACCAGCCATTAAAAGAAAATTTTTAATGGCCGCCATTTTGAAATTTGATGAGCCTGATCAAAGATATTTTCAGAGAATGTTTGTTCTTGTAGACTTAAAGTTTATACAAAGTTTCATAAAAATATCCCTAAGGACTTTTGAGTTATAAATTATTTTCAAAAAAATACAAAATGGCGGATTACGGCTGGCTAAACTAAGCCGAAATAGAAAAAAAGTTATTCTAAAATTTTGCCTTATTTTTGCATGTAGAATCTGAATCTGCATAGCCCGCTACGCTTTACTGAAACACCCTGTATTAAGTGTTTTTTGTACGGTTATTGGTTATGGAGAAAATTAACTAAGCTATTAGTATTTAAAAAAAAAAAAAAAACTCACTTTATTACCCTCCCTGTAGCAGCTAAATCAGGGCACTAATTGTTATCCATCCGTGAAACACTGTTCAAAAAAGGCCTGCGATTTTGCAATAGGATACATGTAGACTATATCTAATAGTTCAATAGCAATATAATCAGGCAAATGGAAATTCGCTAAGTCTGCAGGTTTGCTGCGGCGGGGTTATTTGTTATTTTATAATAAAGCCTATTGATTAATTACTTTAGTACACAAGGTTTTATAGCAAAACTTAAGGTGGTAAAACAGAATTATAAAATCAATTTACTATTGATTTTTTTCAATGCAACATACTGCAGGGATCTTCAACCTTTTTTACTCTAGGGCCAAATTGACAATTTTTGGAAGAAAGGCGGACCGACAACATATCAGTGTAGAAAAGTACCCTACCTCCAAATAACCCACTAAGAGTTAGCTTTCTAGTTAAGAGCTCAGCGAAGAAGTTTGAATTTTGAACATTTCTTTCTGATTTTGTTGTTGCTAAGCCTAACCTTTTGACTAACTAAAATTCTTTACATTTTTGTTCGATTGATGCTGTGACCACCATAGTGAGTCGAAAAATTCCAAAAAAAATCATGCTGAATTTATGGTTTTCATTGGTAGTTTATAAGAGGCAAGTTTCTTTGTGTTTTGGTAACTTTTCGTATGCCAACCTGGCCACCGAGAATTGTACTTGAATTCTGTAAGGACCAAGGACCACAACGATCACCAATAGCCAATAAGTCTCAATTCATTGCCGGCTTTCCATTGGTTCTCTTTAAACATCATAAGTGAATCAAAATTGCTGGAGATCATCACAGTACTGATACCGCACAATGCAGTCACGATCGCGGGAGACGATCGTGGTATCGCCAAAACCATTTACTTACGGTTGATGCCGAGCTGTGCGTGACAATCGTGGCATCGCCAAGACCGCAAAATATGCTCAGGAGTGTTGCCGCGATCATGAATGACGATCACGTTATTGCCGAGATGCCGCGTTCCCGAATAACGATCGCAGTATCACTGAGACCGCAACATTTAATTACGCGTGATGCCGAGCTTTTAGTTAAGATCGCGGTATCGCCAAGACCGCAATAATTACTTACTTACGGTTGTTGCCGAGTCGTGATTGACGATCGCGGTGTCGCCAAGACCACAACAATTTACTTACGGGCGTTGCTACGACCGTGAGCGACAACCACAGTATTGCCGAGTTGCCGCGATCGCGAATGACGATCACGTTATCACTGAGACCGCAACATTTACCTATGAGTGTTGCCGCGATCGCGAATGACCATCACATCATTACCGAGACAGCAACATTTAATTACGGGTGTCTGCGACTTTTGACGATCATTGATTTATAACAATTGTATAAAAATCATTATTTCCCAGCAGGCCTTCACGGGCCAGATAAAATCTGTTCTGTCTGGGCCGTAGGTTAGAGACCCCTGTTATACTGTATATCTGTTAGGTATTATGTATTATTATGTTAAAACAAGAAAAACCTTAGATTGACTAAGTTCCAATTCCACCAAACGTTTAACATTTGTATCAACCCAGCTATTACGGCCTCCAGATAACAGATGTAAATACCTGCTTCAGGTAATTTAACGATTGTGTCAAGCAAATAGTTTTGAAACAAAAGTTGAGCCGTCCTCAGACTTCCCAGTGTGTGTAAGGAATGTACTCAAATATCATAATAATAAGTCAATAGGATTTCCTAGATAAATAAGGTGTTTGGTATGATAATTTTAATGCACAAACCACCCTTTTTTTTATTAGTTTTATGTGAAAACGTTTTTGACTCATACAGTTTAAGTTAAAAAAAGATTCTGGCAGATCTGTTTACCCCTGTAACACTGATACTGTAAAGCCTCATCCACACATGGCGATTTGTCTTCAGAACATTGTCGGCCGACTGTAGTGTTGCAATTTGAATCTAGCGATGTTATTCGGCCTACTGTTGGCAGACAAATTTTGGTGTTTCTTGAGACAAAATACAATGTTTTCTGTTTCCCATTTGAGTAGGAAACACAGAGACAAGATACACAACTTTCGTCTCAAGTCCGCATGTGTGGGCGTGTCTGGAGACAGAAGACTGGATACAAGCCGAAGGTATTCGACATTCAGCCCATTTAGTTGGACTGCAAATCGGCAATATTAAAATTTTTGGGTGGTATTAAAATAGCTTTTATTTAATAACAATTTTATTGAATTGTTCATCTCTTCAAGTTTGAAATCTTAGGCCCAACAAAGCCTAGCAAAACTTCAAAATCTTTATAAGTCAACCTCGTGAAGTTCCTAAATCTTTCACCTAATCTGAAGGTCTGATAGAAGATTGTGACCGTAGTACGAAGCTTGCTCGAGAAAATTTTGGGTCCATCATCATCTATTTCTAGGTTCATTAGCCCAATGGTTCAGAAATATGAAGCTTGCAGAAATATGATATAATTACGTCCTCCTTGGTTGCCATACTAACAAACAGAGAAACACTGGCTGGCTAGTGTGGACGCAAAACACATCGTAAACTTTGACAGACTGTCGGCAGACAATCGGCCAGGGGCTGCTCCAGGAATAGTTTTTGGGTAGAACTGACTTGGATCAAAAAAGAGTTTGATCGGGGGACGAGAGGTTTGAAGAGCTTCCCCGCAAAAAGGGGGGAATTTTAAAATTTAAAAGCAAAATAATTAGTTTGAATGCTTTCCCTTTATTTACATAGGTATAATTAAATTTATTTATTAATTTTTAATTTTTAAATATCTACCAAAATTTTGGGTAGGCCCCTACCTGGCCTGTCCTCTGGAGCCACCCCTGCGATCGGCCGACTGTGTACTGACTGGCACAGTCAGCAGACTCAGTCTCCATGTGTGGACTAGGCTTAAGCAGATCCTAGGTAAGATACACAAAACTTGACAGCAGTATTGTTGACAGTCAGCTACAAGTCGATTGGTTAAGACACCCATTGACTGCAAGGTTTTTTTACGATGAAACTAACTAAGCAAACATTAGTTTTTTTTTGGTTTGGTGAAATCAGCCCTTGGATTCTTATATCCAGTGGAAACCTACCAGATATTTTATAAAATATAAAATACTAGATCGAAAGATTTGAAGGATACATAGAAAAACTTAAAACTTAAAGAGATGCTTTATATCTAACAACAACAAAATTGTTAAGGATTACATACAACTTAATAACTTTGCCTATAAAATATATCATTAAATATTTAGTAAGGATATGACAGTTAAAACAGTACAATTATACTAGCACAGTTATTAAAATTTAACTTACCAATATGGTTGAAAATGGGAATGCTAACCAAGAATAAAGGAACAACCGTGACAAATAAATATGAATGTATTTCATACGAATCCTTTGATTGAATGAACCGAAGGAGGTTCATATGTACAACATAATATAATAAGGGTATTGCTCAAATTATGTTTTTATGTTTTAATATACAAAATAATAAATAACAAATTTCAGTCCAATCTTTCAATTTTACACTCCTCTGTTTTGACGCTTTTAACCTCAACATTTTAAAGTTGGCACTGATAAAATACAACTATTTATTAGCAACAATTTTTTGAACATGAGCTTTAATACTATCTACACTTTAAACAATATTATACACAATGAAGTACATTTATAGTTCACCAGAGTGGACACAAAAAAGGAAACACAAACAACATAAGTAGTATAGGAAGATTTTTTTTTAATGTGAGTCTTTATCACAAGTTGCAAAAACAGTAACAAAGTGAATGTAACCTATATTTTTTTTTTAAATATTCATAAAACTCATTGGGTAGGTGAACTGTAATGACTTTTATAGACAGAAACATTGTCTGTTTAAGCACATAATAGAATTAACTTGTTAATGGTACAATTAGATTTGCTGTCAGCACCTTAGGTACAATAAATATGTTAATATCTTCAAATTTTTACCACAGTAATTTATTTGGCTTAAATAATAATATTTTCAGTAATTTTTTTTAAGTAGCAGTAGCTATTCAACTGTCCTAATTATTGTTTATATAAAATCCATTTTCCTATATCGAGATAGGTAACACTTTCACACTCATTTTAATATGCACTAATTCTTAACAAAACTTTTATGGAAAAAAGAGCGGTCGAATTTATAACTAGCAATTTATTTTATCAGCTATAAGATGCAAGTATCTGGGAATCGTACAACTCGAAGGATAACACGGAAACACGTGTAACACCACAACCTCTTCCGCCATGCTATTAGACTAGTTAACAATATGCTTTGATTAGATAGTCATCATCTATTTATATAAAAATATAACATTACTCAAGGCAGACCCAACAGTTTGTCTTCGACCCCTTTGATCTGCTAACCAAATAATACCGTAATAAAATTATGTGAAGTAAAATAAAAGCGCGAGCCGGCTGGTTAAAAGCAAGCTAATGATTGAAAACATCGTAACAAATAATACATGCACTCTTCTCGTCACAGGTACAAAGAAAATCAAGTCGGACGGGCTCCGTCAGTCCACCTCATTATGGCAATATATATATTTATTTATAAATATACGACTTTAAATATTTGTAGCGCACAGAGACTGTCAACTTTGTGCTGTGGGGTCCTCACACCGAGTGGCAGCCGATTAAATGTACACTGTTTCATATCACTTTTTTTGTACCGATAAATCTTTATTCTGTATTTGTTTCAGCTTGTTATTAGATATTTCAAGTTCTGACAACTTTTTCCATAGTTCATCCCTTTCCTTTTCCCGTTTCTTCTCCCTGAAAATAAAACAAACACATCTTAGTTCAATCCTGATGTACTTGATGCATAATATTATTTACCACACCGTTTAGTGGTAAAATTAATTACTAAATTATAAATATTATATTGAAAATAATTGCGTTTTGTAAATTAATTTTTTTATTAAATATGAATGTGTGGGTTTAACAAAATTTACAGAAAGATAAGAATTCCAACTTTCAATGATGAATAATTTTGAATAAGGTTGAGGCCGAAAAAGAATAATATGTCTAAAAATAAACATATTACGTCATTAAATAGATTTTAAAAAACAAATTCACAGCTTTACTGTGGTTCAGAACCAGATTCAAATCACTTTATTCAATATGAATATACATATTATTTTGTACATGAATGGCATCAAGACTAAAATTAATGACTAAAACCATTGACTATAAAACTAAATAAGAATTTACATTACACAGCGCATATTATACATAATATTATTATATTAATTATATATTATACATAATAAAATTTGTTCAAAAATCTATGTTTTAATGCACTTATAAAATGTTGTATTATGAAATCACTGGGACATATCAATTTCAAAGGAACAGATAATTATTCCTTATCGGGTTAGCTTATTTTTATTGTAGGGGTGTGCGCTTGCCTTTTTTGGTCTACTTTCAATAATCATTTATCATTACATTCAAGAAAGACCGTCAGAGGTTTGTGAGATTATTAGCATACAAGTTTTCAATAATCGGGTAGAAAATTGTGTCATAGAATAAAAGCCATGCAAGTGTAGAGGAGTACGTCGAGGATGTGAGCTGTGTTCAATTTTTTACTACGGAGTATGTTTAATCTATGGTTTTGGTGAATTAAAGGCAATTCAGGTATTAATGAAATAAAACAGTGCCATAACATCTCATCTCTTTTGCATAATTTGTTGCCAACAAAGCCGGACTAGGTTGTGGATGTGGTTCCGTAAATGTTCAAGATTTGTGGCCAAATTCACTACAATTATGGTCAATCCCATCCACAAAATACATGCACAACTTTATGTGATCCATACGGCCAAGGCAATTGACCCTCGCATATCAATAAAGTTCAAGTTTGACAGCAACCTCATGGCATAATTTCACAAAACTACGCCAGAAGTTAATCAATTAGCGAATAAGTACATTTAGATTAAATACATTGGTCTATGTGGCAAGAGGAGGAATCAAAATTGCTTAGACCCCCATCGAAGTAAGAATGTTACTGCTCTCTGGAGAATCAGATATTTTTATAAAATAAAAAAAATAACAGATTTAATATGCCTCCCGCTGATAAAATTCTGTATTTTTATGACCAAAGATGGTGATTCACTTATACAATCCAAATACAATCTGAATGATTTTCTTAAAGTAGACGGAACCAGTTATTTTAGTAATATTGACTCTTTTAGTAATGTTGACTTTGAAATTCTTACTAAGAAGTTAGAACTGTATGGGTTTAATGGACCTTCTCTAAATTTTCTTTCATCTTATTTAAAAAACCGGAAAAAAATAGTAAATTCTATTGGGAAAAATCACAAGGAAGGGAAGTAAATTGGGGCGTTCCACAGGGATCAGTCCTTGGCACACTTCTGTTTTCAATCTACATTAATGACCTTCCAATGAAAATAAATACCAAAACTAAACTGTACGCGGATGATACAACTTTTTTCATGAAAACAATAACCAACTTGTGCTTCAAAATTTAGTCCATGTCACAAAATTAAACACATCCAATTTGTTTTCATGCCATGGATTTTTATTGAATGACTGTAAAACTCAAGAAATAAAATTTACATTGAAACACAATTCTGCCTCAAATAATGAAAATAGTTCAGTACTGTCACTGCAAAATTTTTGGGTTTTCATATTAATAATCAACCATCCTGGAACGAGCATATACATTATTTGTGAACTAGGCTATATAAATTAATTTTTATTCTTGGTCTTCTTAAAGAAGTAATTCCAAAGAAATATTTGAGATCGGCTTATTTTGCATATTTTCAGTATGTAATGAGATACGGATTGATATTCTGGGGTGGGTGTAGAAGAATTTAACAAATTGTAATCCTACAAAAGAGGGCTAGACGAACACTGGAAACCTCTTTTTAAGGATTTTAAGATTCATATTCTTACCCTTTATATCTTAAAAAAAAACCCATCACCTAAAATCCAATAATCATAATCACAATACCAGATTTAAAAATAGCTCCTTGTTAGAATCACATCTTCTGAGTAAGAGTAGCAAGAGCCACATAGTGTTATCAACTAAGTTATAAAACCTTTTAAAACTGAATATTGAAGCTTATCCACAGCAAAAATTTAAGTCCATGTTTTATAATTGGCTATTAGACAACACTTGAAGTTTTTTTCCAAATCTGGCCAAATAAATCTTTGATTGCACAAACCCTGCTGCTCACCTGATGCTTTATCAGGTCCTTAATTATTGTTGTTTGTTTAGTCTTGATATGTACATATTTAGTTATTAAGGCCTAATATTTTTTAAATCAAAAGTGAGGTTATTCTTTTTACGATTTATGTATGATCATGATTTTGACTGATCCAATGTATCCTTACGACGAATAGAATTTGTTATTACTATTATTATTATTATTATTGCCATAAAATACCCCATGTACAGCTAACAAACACATTCACTTTATCTCTTTGACATACTTTTGCCGTTCAGCTTTGTATGATGCAGTGAGATCATCAAACAGTTTGCTGTTCATCTCCATGAAGGTCTTGAGCACATTGTACACCAGAGCGACGATAGTTTGGTTCCAATGTTCCTTGCTGATCCTGTACAGTGCCGGGAACATGATCGGCATTATCACTTGGTTGTTTTCTTCCATTAAACTCATTATATATTCATTATTCCAGAAGTAAAGAGCTCGCTCTGCCACCTACACATATATGGATTGCAAGTATAGTGTATTTACATTGTGGAATTATTACAGTATAATATAATGTAAGAATTAAGTAATCATTACATTTATGTGATAATTACATGCTGCATAGCCCACTCAATGACAAAAGTTAGTATTATTTTATATATTTTTCCCTCCAAGTACACATAAATTTTTTTTATAGAAATCGATGTAAACATATTCAATAGAGAGATTATCGATTTTATTTTAAATTTTATTCAGAATAAGAATATTAGATAACTGACATTATTCTGGAAAGCATATTTTTCTATAAGGAAGAGACTTTTACCATTGTGTTCAGAATAAAACCTAGGTCCAGGATACGGTGTTTTTTTATTTCTGTATCTTTAGTTGACAAAGTATACTGAAAATAAAAATTTGTACAAAAACTCAATAACACTTGTAATAATGGCAGGTGTTGATAAAACTGAGCACAAATGTAAATCCCTCCAACAATCATAGAAAAGGGGTTGTGTACACTGAAGGAAATATGTTTGGATACAAACTAATAACTATTAATAAGAGAAATGGAAATATTAAAAAAATATATCCTAATAAACTATTTTTTTAATCCAAGCAAAAAATCTACCTTACAAAAGCAGTTAAGCCAACCCTTATGAAACTACTTATGAAACTTAAACATGAATCAATTAATTGATAGACAAAGTAAGTAACATATATTTATCATACCATAGCTGTCAACTTTGAATCTCACTACTCTATCCTACTATTTTAGTAATTTAATAGTCTTACCTGAAAGTGAGGACTAGACACACACTTGGCAATTTGTCGGAAAAGAGGCTCCTGAATTTTGGTAAACTGTGTTGGTTCAATAACATCTAAGATTTCTTCTATTTCACCAAGGAACATCACCTGAAAAACATGTTCAAATTAAGGCAAATAAGTTAATAGTATTTTTTATGTCATTCAAAATCTTTCTTAGGTTTGTGATAAAAGTTGGGATCCTCTTTAAATCTGCATTTGCCAATTCATATACCCCTCAGGTATGAATGTGGAATGTGTCAAGTAAAATAAGGATGAAATGTTGTAGTCCAGGACTGAATAGTAGATGTAAAAGTGTGTCTTGTTTGTTGGATACCAATAAACTACAAGAGACAGCTCTTCACAGCTCATGTAGCAGGCCTGGAATGATACAACATATTATTAGGGAGTAGAGCTCCATTACAACTTAGATGGATTGTAAATTGAATAATTAAGTCGGAGGTCTGTATTACTAAATACAATTATACCTACTAGTTCTTAAGATTCAACCAGGGATGCCCGCTCCTATGGTGGAATCACGCAGAGTGTGTCATAAAAATATTTTTTGGTGGGGATTTTGGTAGGTTTTAAAAGGTTTTTGGTAGAGATGTGCGAGCACAGGTTTTTCAGGTCGAGTCGAGTTCGAGTCGAGTTTAAACCAAAAAGATCGTAGGATGTGTAAGTTTAAGTAACTCTTTAGGGCTAGAGCATGTAACTTGTAAAACAACCCTGTTACAAGCTAAAGTACGATTATAAAAATAAATTAATCATCAATATTTGTGCAGTAACATATCAATGCATAGAAAATAATTTTAAAACAACAACAATAGAGCTCATAAATGAACTTCTACTTCTGTGAAAAATAGGTAAGTGAGCATATATTTATTTATCTACAAATTAATTACATTAATCCCTATTGATAACTAATATTGCATAATACTTGGCTAAAATTACTTAATACTTGCATCTATTAGTTATTAAGGTTGCAATTACAATAAAAAGTTTAATATAGAGATTTATTCTACAACTTGAAATTTTATTTCCTACCTTTTCACCTTTAGTTTTGTAAGTTTATTAACATTAATCTTAGTTGGTGTGCTTTTGTAACAGTATGCCTACAAAATTTCCAATGGTTTGACAGTGGGTAAAGGAGAAATAAATTTTTTAATTAAAGAAAATTAAATTTTTTAATCTCCTTCGTTAATTGTAAACAAATATTCTGTATTTAAGTTTATTTTAGTTTTTAAAAAGTCTGGCAGCCAGAGCTAAAGTTCTAGATTAGCTTTTGGTTTAACCATAGATAAAACATACTCCCTTAGTAGATTAGTCATCCTAATGGAACAGCTGAGGCCAATTTTAATGTTAGTTCTGTACGTCCAACTATAGAGGTTATGTTTTGTTTACAATTTGTTTCTTGTTATTGCAGTCATTTAAAACCTCGTTTAACCTAATAAAACGATATAATCATAAACAATAACTGGTCTCCTAGTTTTATAACCAAATAGTAAAGCACAAATCATGAAAATAACCCTAAAATAATAGAAACTAAATGTTGTCTACTCTAGCGATCAGTGTGGACGTACATGAACTAGACACAAAAAACAAGCTTCAAAATTTACAATGGGATGAGGAGTCTACTTGTGTTGCTTAGTCTATGGTTTAACACAGTTGACAGCTGCAAACATTCAGCGTGTGCGACACTAATTCAGCATATAGATAAAGATGGCATTGTAACTTTTACAGGGTTTCTAGTTTATTTCCATTATAAAATTCAAGACTAATTCCAGACTTTTCAAGACTAATTCCAGATTTTTCAAGACTAGTTTTTTTAACAATTAGTGGGTGTTGATACCAAAATGTATCGATTCTCGATTCTTGATACCGACATCAATTTTTATAGCTTAACCAAATTTTCTAAATAATACTACACCAACCCCTGTCTTTGTCATAAAGTAGTAGTATTATGATAATGTGGTGTTTTCAAGTAAAGAATAATGCAGCAATACAAAATTTTAACTAGCGAATTTGGTTTTTTTTTATCATGAAATCTCCGCGTACCGTACGTTTAAACATCATCATTGACTGCAGCGGCTACAGAAACGTGATTGTCGTCGTCCGCGATCACGGCAAAATCATTAACATTTCCCGCGGGTGTTTAGACATCACCGTCATCTCCCGCGGTCACGGAAACGTTATCGTCGACGTCGGCAATCATGGCAAAATCATGAACATTTCCCACGGCTGTGTAGACATCATCGCCATCGTCCGCGACCGCGATAAAATCATGAACATTTCCCCCGGCCGAGCAGATATCATCGTCGTCTCCCACGGTCACGGAAACGTCATCGCCGTCTCCCGCGGTCATGGAAACGTCATCGTCATCTCCCACGGTCACGGAAACGTCATCTCCCGCGATCACGAAAAAATCATGATCATTTCCCGTGGAAGAGCAGATATCATCGTCGTCTCCCGCGGTCACGGAAACGTCATCGTCGTCGTCCACGATCGCAACGAAATCATGAACATTTCCCGCGGCCTTGTAGACATCAATGACATCATCGTCGTCTCCCGCAGTCTCAGAAACGTCATCGTCATTGTCCGCGATCACGGCAAAATCATGAACATTTCCCACGGCAGTTAAGACATCTCCTTCATCTCCCGCGGTCACCGAAACGTTATCGTCGTCATCCGCGATCACGGCAAAATCATTATCATTTCCCGCGGCCGTGTAGACATAATTGTCGTTTCCCACGGTCACGGAAACATCATCGTCATCTCCCGCGGTCACGGAAACATCATCGTTGTCTCCCGCGGTCACCGAAACGTCATCACTGTCGTCCGCGATAGCACAGAAAACATACTACTATAACCCAGAATGCCAACCTCATGGTAAAAAGCATTAAGTGTTTTGAGAGAGCTTTGCCTGTCAATTCGTAGGCGGCGCCACCAGCGTTATAGTAGTATGTTATCTGTGGCGATAGCTACAAAATAATGATAATTTCTTGCGGCCGTGTAGACATCATTGACTCCCACGGTCACGGAAACGTCATCGTCGTCCTCCGCGATCGTGGCAAAATCATAAAAACATTTCCCTTGCCCGGGTAAACATCAACGTCATCTCCCGCGGTCACGGAAACGTCATCGTCATCTCCTGCAGTCACGGAAACGTCATCGTCGTCTCCCGCGGCCACGGAAACGTCATCGTTGTCTCTCGTGGTTTCGGAAACGTCATCATTGTCGTCCACTATTGCGGCAGAATCGTGAACATTTCCCGAGGCCGTGTAGACATCATCATCATTGGCTTTCGCGGTTACGTAAACGCAAGACGACGATCGCGGCAAAATAATGAAAATTCCCGACTTTGAAATCAAATTTAAGACTAAATCCCGACTTTTCAAGACCATTTTGAAATTCAATACTAATTCCCGACTTTCCCGCCTACTAGACACCCTGCTGATTTATTCATACTATGTGTAATGCCATAACTATTAATACGATTATTTGTCTGGTAACAGGATAGCTGATTTTTTATAAATAAAGGTGTTTTACAAACCAACAATATTTTGTACAACTAAGTGGTAGGTCTAAAATGTTTTTTGATCAAAGGAAATAACTAATATCATTATACTAACCAACACACGTAGACTTCTCATCCCATTGTAAATTTTAAAGTTTGTTTTTGATGTCTAGTTCATGACACTGATCGCTAGTGTCAACAAAATTTTGTTAGGTTTTGTTTAGGTTTAATTTCATGATTTGGACTTAACTGTTTGGTTATATAACTAGGGAATGAGTTATTAGGATTAGATTGTTTTATTTCGTTAAACAAGGTTTTAAACAGCTAAAATAACAAGAAAAATTTTTTAAATAAAACACAGCCTCTAAAGTGCACCTTAGTAGATTTCTAAGGATGAGGAATCTACTAATAGATTTCTAAGGATGAGAAATCTACTAAGGGAGTATTAATCTATGGTAATATTGTATAACCGTTGGTGTATCAACTTCTTAAGCTCCTCCCTCTAGTTATTAAAATTAAGCTTAAGAGAATTTCTTATACTTTTGTAGAAACAGTATGAAATTAAAATGTTGTAATTTATTTTGACAAATTGTTGTTTATGATTTCAAATTGCTTAACACGTGGTTGGATTAGGCCTTAAAATATACATGTGATTTAAAACAATGAGATAAATAAAAGGCTACATAAAAACAGTTTTAAAAGAAGTCAGAACTACACTATTTCCTTTGTTAAAAAAATTTTTAAGCATGATTAGAAGTTTTTAAAAAAAATCTGAGAAGTAGTAACCACATATAGTCGTTTATCCTTGACTTTGATTATTGACTTTGGATAGTGCAAGAAGACTTCACATCCTACTGAACAAATTTGAAACCTTTTTTGACGTATGTTTCTTGCATGGTTACGTTGGAGTGCACTGATGTAGGCAAAATGTTTACTCTTATTTTAAATTAACTCATTTTGCAATTGACATTAACTTTTTCTCGACAAATTTAACGTTCAATAAACACCTTATTAAATAAAATCAAAGATAACTTATAAAACTATTTTTTTACGTCATAAACCTTAGAGGGGTTGGTACCCCTGGATTCAACAGTACCAGAAACAGAACAAATATCAATAACTAAGAATTGGCGTAGTCAGGACTCAAACCTCAAGATGAGCTCACTATTTACCTCTTTTTGACTACACGTTTTGGGCCAATATTTGAGTAGACCCTTGACAACAGGCTCAGTGAGAGTGGCATCTTTCTCTAGGAACTGCACCACGCAGTAGGCCAGCTGAGCGTGGTACAGCGAGAGACACTTGACTTTGTGTAGTGGGATCAGCACTTTGACCAAGAACTGCTTGTGTTCCGACTTGAGGGGTAGCGCAAAACCATTGATAATACTGCCAACAAACAGTTCAACAATGTTATATAGCCTGTGTCCTCAGTTTTGTTCATATTTTAGATGTAAATTCTGCAATGGACTAAATGACCCTTGATGTAACATGAGTCAATTCAAGATCCAATTTTTGCAATTGTCAGTCAGTATGGGGATATCCTGAATATCTTGAACAATGCTCAGCATATCAGTTGATCATTTATTTAACTTCAAAAATATGAATGAGAGATAATCTACTGCAACCTTAAAAATTGTCCTGTTAAAAGTAACATGTATGCAGGTTTGACGTATTTCTGATTTAATGTGAATATTCAAATCAAATCTCTTTATTCATTTTTACACACAAACAAGAATTATTAAAATTATTAATTGAAAAAATTAAGAATATTAAACAAATAAACATTATTAGAGTCTTTTTAATACTGTAAGTTCATAATTTATTATGAAACTTGCAATCCTAATTAACACAAATTAATTGATAACTTTGAACTAAACACAAAGTTTAGGAAATAATAATCAATAACCAAGATATAATTTTCGAACAAATTACACCAACACACCTTCCTAAAATTTCCAACAGCTCTCCAACACCATTGAAGTGTTCAGTCTCATAGACAAACCTGAAAAATATGATGATTGGTTTTAATTATTAAAAGCTTTTGCTATAACTCCTTTGCAATATTATTAAAGATGAAGTAAAATCTAGTCTAGTTGTATAAAACCTTCACAGTTAATTAAAGATCGTGCTCTATTAAGAGTTGGCTCTATCGTGTAGAGGGTGTGGTATTATCTCATTTAACTAAAAGTTATTTGTCATTCGCACGATTTTACAGCAAAACCTCGAGGACTGAACATTAAACCAGCCCACTCCCAAAGTATACTTTAGTACAATGAATAATGTAATAAATATAAATTATTATAGCATAATCATAGCCTCCTCTAATACAAGGTGTTAGTGTGTGGCAACGTTAAGCATATTTTCATGGTAATAACAGAAATGACAAAAGTGTAAACATAAATATCTCCCATACTGTCCATCAACCCTTTGAGTGCCACCGCGTCTCGCTCCGAGAAGCACCATTGTCGTAGCTTGAGTGCCGAGCGTCTTGTAGCAAGATGATCAAGGTTGCGCGAGAAATGCCAGCATCTCGGTGCGAGACGCTCAGAAAATCACTTGAAACAGTATCACATTTCAATAAAGCTAGCTGCAAATCACACCAAATGCGACAGAAGGAGGTTGGCAACAACTGTTTTGCTCTTTTACTGTACAATGGAGCTGAGAAATGTGGTCAAATAATCAAAAACCATTACGCAATTAGACAGCTTTACACAGCTGGCTCGTGTGTTGTTGTTTCGATTGTTTACGTTCTAGTAAATGTTTGTTTACAAATTGTTTGGTTATAGAATTGCAGGTTATGGTCATGAATCGTTGATAAATACATTTAAACCTTTAAAAAGTTATAATACCACAACTTATTCGTGCATTTGGTGATGGTTTGTGGCTAATCACATAAAGTGTATGCGGTAACTGGACTTCGTAAGTCAGGCCTATAGATGCATGATTTTATTTTGACGGTTTGCGTATTTTCTGCATGGCTCCTAATAGTACCTATTCTAAACATAAAAACATAAAAAACAAAACATAAAATACAGTCAAACTAGTGGAATCCCGTCGAAATCGACGGTAACTTTCGAGGCTTACGTTAATTCATCTAACTGCGATGAATTAGGTGAAATATACATATTTTGAGCATTTAACATTGTTCAAAGAGTAATATTGCCTTAGTTGCCAAATTTGGTTGTTCATTCAATGATTAAAATATTTCCTATCCTGTACGTCATCGGAGTTATTATTAAAATGTTATATGGTATCTCCTCCTTTGGTAGAACCTTTAAATATTATTTAAATCGTATTGGTGGATCTTGTAGTTAAACATTTCCGCGACTTCATCAGTGTTTGAGAAAAAATATATGTTTGTTGAGAAGACACGTTCTAACTCCAAAGGGAGTTATACCTATCCGTTACAGTGTAAGTTTGATTTTCCTTCGTCACGTCGCGCATATCGTACTTCTGTGCCAATGAATGAACCCTCTAGCATAGTTTTGAGAAATTGACTATGGGGTTACTGATAAAGCTGGAATTCCTTGACATGGGGGATGTCAGTTAGTTGTCTCGGCCTTATCAATATCGTAAAGTTGTCAATATAATCTCTCTACGGAATGTTAGGTGTAGTGGAATACATGAAGTAAAGTTGGCTTTTATTCTTGAACTGTTAGGGGCCTCCTAGTTCATATGATCTTGGCGGCTTCATTGGCAATAAATAATGCAAATGACATAGCAATGGAACATTTCCAAAAAGCAAAAATACTGTAAAATGGCTGTTACGTATATATTGACGTTTACATATTGTTAATCAACGTATATGATAAATACTTTAATCCTTTAATACGTTTTTTATGGCGACCATTCATAGTAGGTAAGCCAAGTATGAATGGAGATGAGTGTAGGATGAGTGGCACGATCTTGAAGTCTTGTTAGTGACTAAGGCCGATGTGGAGTCAAATGTGGCACAAAGTATGCCACACCGAAATTCCTTGGATACAGCTGTTAACTAATAGCCCATACAGCGAATGGCAACCAAGGGACCTGCAGTTTATAGTTGAATTGGAACCAATTTTTTTTGCATTGGTATTCATGAATTGGTATAATTATCAGGATATCACTGCGGGTAGTCGTAGTACTCACTCGTGCAGACGTTAATCCACAACAGGGAGTATCGCATCCACAGTGCATTCCTATAAATCTCCACAATTCGTGACCTCCTAGTAGCTGGATTACAGGACGACGCCACCCGTCCCAGTCAAAGGATTATGTGATCTAGTTTAAAAGGAATATGACCTTTCTGTCATGACAGTAGCTGCTTAAATTGTATTTTCTCTTTGTACCATATTTACAGCCAAAATGTCGTGTTATTTTCAATAATGTTACAAATTCGGTGCGCCAAAGTCCCTAATATAGGCAGGTGCAAATAATTTGTCAAGATAGGTACCATTTTAGGCAATGTTTCTAAGTTTGGATTTTATTAGACACAATAAGAGCAGATATTTCTACATAAATATTTGATATTTTGTAGAATAATATGATAAAATGTATGCAAAGTGGCGAAAAAGGCACACACCAACCCGTACAATAGATATAAGATAGCTCAATAAGAAATAATTTAAGAATTGCTGTGATAAAAGGATTTTCCACTGATTTCGTAATGGAACGTTATATTGCAAAACATGGCATGATAAAGAAGAAAATCAATTTTAAAATCAGAAAATAACATTGCAAATACTTATTTGGTAGAATTCAACTCCCAATAAATATGTGTTGTTTGAAATACAATTTAAAAATGAACAGCTGTTTCATTAAAAAGTATTATTCTCATGGCCAAAATGTAAACAACTCTGTGGAGGGATCTTTTAAGGCTTCTGGGGCAGAGTCCTAAGGGATTTTGCTTAGTTTTTCTTTTGATAACTCATCTACAGACCAAGACCTTTCTTTGGACACCTCTACCAAGTTTCTACGCCCAACCGTTCTCTCAAATTAGTGGAGACAAAGTTTCCAATCAAATATTTAGATTCCCCCATGTTAATCTTATGGGAGAAACTCCAACTTTGATGGCCTGTGGGGCAAAGCCCGAGGATTTTTACTACATGAATTGGTGAAAGGGGGCGTCTACACAAAAAATACTTTATTTTGACACGTCGTTTGTAAAAATCCGTCCATTATTAACGGAGGAGTAGTGTTTTCTAGAAATCGCCTTCACGTATTATATACAGGGTGATTTGTACTCAGTGTGACAAAATTTTTTTGATGTAAGTACAAAGTAAATGAAGTGTGATGATGCAAATCAAATGTTCCAAGTCTCAAAATTAGCGTCCCAAATAATTATTTTATGTTTTTCAAAAATAACCATGCTTTTAAACTTAATACAGCGATTTCTCAATTACCTGTATATGGATTTGAGTAGATAATGTCATTTTCGTGTTCTACATTAAATTTTGAACAAGAATAATGGAAAATGACGGAGGATCAGTTGTAAAAACTTCATTGTAAATCGATTCAAAGATAAAAATTAAGATATTTGATAAAAATTTTAAAAACAATGGTCCATTGCATTTTTCACACCCTGTATACAAGAAAGTGTCGGAATATGTTAAAAACTGCGCCATTTTATAAGCTTTCCAACCATATGCTACACTATTGAGGTTTATATATTTTTTTGTTTGTTTTAGTGGTTTGAATACCAGAAAACAGGGAACCTTTTTACTGTTTTTACTGTTCAAGCTGAATCAAAAATACAACTTTTGCTTAATACATGCCGGCTTTCTATGTTTTAAATGTTAAAGACACCATGCTTTGTAGTCTTCAAACCATTAAAGCGTACATAAGCAGACATAAACCTCAATAGTGTAGCATATCGTTGGAAAGCTTATAAAATGGCGCAGTTTTTAACATATTCCGACACTTTGTTGTATACAGGGTGTGAAAAATGCAATTGACCATTGTTTTTCAAATGTTTATCGAACATCTTAATTTTTATCTTTGAATCTATTTACAATGGAGTTTTTACAACTGATCCTGCGTCATTTTCTATGATTCTTGTTCAAAATTTAACGTAGAACACGAAAATGACATTATCTACTCAAATCCATATACAGGTAATTGATAAATCGCTGTATTAAGTTTAAAAACATGGTTATTTTTGAAAAACATAAAATAATTTTTTTGGAAGCTAATTCTTAGACTTGGAACATTTGATATGCATCATCACACTTCATTTACTTTGTACTTATACCAAAAAAATTTTGTCACACTGAGTACAAATCACCCTGTATAAGGATGTAAAATGATATAGTTTTGTCTGTAATAAGTCCTAGAGCATGATTTAGGTTGTTTGCTGGGTAGGGCCTAGAATTTTTCGAGACCTCTTTGTAGTAAATGTTACATATTTTTTTGGACTTATACAATAAATATATTTGTTATACATGATTTCTCTTTAGTTTTTAATGCTCTTTAAAATGAATGTAAAATTGAATGTCGATGAATAATTTTGAATTGTGTTATTTAAACTCAAACTTTGAAAATGAGAATAAACTTCACCTTATTTCTGTCTTGTCCATGAACATATGTTATTTTAACTCATGTAACACCAACTAAAATTAGTATTTTACAATGCACAATCTAATAATCTACAAAACAAAACAAATTTAGGCCAAAAATGTAAATCTATCTATCTATATATATAATACGTGAAGCCGTTTTTTGTTAACGCAACTCCTCCCTTATTTGTAGACCAATTTCAACGTTTAAGGTGTCAAAAGATTCGTCTGAATATGTAGTTTTGCAATAAGGTTTTAGAATTTTGAAATTCCTACTCTTGAGGGCGTGAGACCCTCTCAAAGGTCGGGTTTTCCCCATAAGAAATACACAGAACAAATTTAATAACAAAAAACAGCTGTTTATAAAAAGAAACTCATTAGCTTTTTGGGAATAAATATTAAAGTTTGTAATATTCAGGTTAAGAAGACCAAGTAAAACAGTTAATCAGTTTTGTTGTAAGAACAGAAAATGCCTCAAGTTCAAAGATGAAATGTTGAAAACCGGAGGATGAGACATTTAATACAGTAATTAACTTATCTTATGCGTATAAGGAGAGTAGAAAAAGAGAGGCCTGGTCTAACAGATACCCATCCAGATACACTTTGGTGATATATTGCTTGGTTGATATATTTGGTGATAATATTAGCCAGTTCTGCTATGCAACTTACTTTGGAAGTGAAAAAATATACAAACCACATAGTGTTGTCACGGTGGTAAAGTAAACTTGCCTAATGTCAGATCAATTGAATGCATGCAAGAAATGTTTACTTCTGACACTGACAGATTGAGATATTTAAAAACATTTATTACATACTATAATAATGCCTTGACTATGATAAGTTCAAGTAGTAAGATTATACTAAATCTTGGCGGACCTTATGTTTTTATTGTAAACTTTTGTATTACTTGCTCTACTTCAATTGAGAAAAAAACGCAAATGGATTGTTTACTTCTAGGTTATGTTGCCAGTTCTTCGGGCTCACTTATATAAATTTTTTTACTGAATTCACCAACACAATCCAGAAATTTCAAGTAAAAAATAAGAAGTTTCAAAAACTCATTTGCCTTTGAAAGTTTTAGTGGCAATATTAGACAAAACATAAGTGAAGGAATTAGTGTTTCTATATTCAACGATCGAGTAGTTACAGTCAAGTTTATTTTTATGATTCAGGAGAGGCAAATAATATAGGTACGCTGTTCAAAAAGAGAAAATGAAAATTGCTATCCAAATCTTATAGCTACAAGAGTTCTCCAACCTATTTCGACAAATGAATCCATACTTTCAAAAATTTGGGACAGGTATTAAGAGAAACTCCACTGAACAACGTGAGAACCTTCTGATGCGGGGCATATACTGTCACTGACAGAAAACACGTTAATATACGTTAACCAACTTTCAATGGTGTTGCTGCTTTAGCCTATTTAAAGCAGATTATGGCTGTCCAGTTAGTAACCCAGAGTTTGTGGGTAAAAAATAGAGCACATGAAATGGTTGATATCACCCCACTTATCTGGATTGTCTACGGAGAAATTGTTTTGATTTATGGGGATGTCTCAAATCGAAGAAATAAAATGACCCAACTTAAATGACTTAACACAGGTTATCAGTAAGTGAGACAGTTTTCTTCAACTCTCAATGCTGGAAAAACTTTGTTGCAACATGCGGCTCAATGGCGATTTTCCTAAACACCTGCATTTATGTGGAAAAATGGTCAGCATTCCTAGAAGCAACACCATATGTAGGCCTGGAAAACCTCAAATCAACTCAAATTGTTTCACCCGCTCGAGGCACTCAAAGGGTTATAAACTTGTGTAACACAGCTGTTTCGGTTTGACGGCACAGCGTTGTTGCCACTTTTGTCTCGACGCGGCCTATAATTCAAGTTTTGCAGATATATCAATACTCTGTCTTATAATCCTGGAAAACAATTAAATGATTTCCCCAATGAGAAAATAACGTTTATAGCTTTGTTAACGACAATCAGCTGTTTTGTTGCATGGTTAAAACAACAAAATTAGCCTTCTAATTAAATTGAAACTTTGTGGAAAGATGTAAAACATTAAGGACAGTTTGCTTTACACCTTGCTTCTTGTAATTCCGTCACAAATATTAACTCAACATCAATCTCAAATAATTCATTGATAAAAAAATCATTTAAATTGAATAGGAAATACACAATACTAAATTCCATTTTCTGTACAGAATAGGTCTCATGAGATTTATAGTCATGCTACTAACATTACTGGAAACATCATGTTTATTGTCATGAGGGATGTGTCAACTGTCATTAGGGTGCTAAAGAACATGCTATCTATTTCTATAACCTTATGCTTTTCAGACGTTAGTATTAAGGCTTAATGATTTAGATTTTGACTCTATTAAGGCCTAGTCAAAACTAGTACAGAAGTTAAAGATTGTAATACGTTATGGTTTTGGGTAGGCGTAGTTTTGGGTACGCCAATGATGTTTTAAGGAAAGCTAATGCAGCTGAAATGGTCATTTAAAAGTGTAACATTTGATCCATAATGGCTTTATAAAAACACAAAATACATTGGTTTGAAAAGAAAATAATAATTATTCATAGACAGAAAAGACTGTAGATAAAGTCAAACACACTAAAGCTTGTTTTAAATTAATTTGCTAAGCAAAACCCAGGCATGGAGTTTGCGCCACCATAATATGCACACACATAAAAATTACTCCGTAATTTATCGCTGAATTTGTGTTCTTTAAAGGTATGAAAAAAATATTTGTACTCGGAAGTAACAATAAAAAAAATAAAAAAATGCTGGTTGGGCAAACTTTACGTTAAGCTTTCCACCCAAAGAATTTGCCATATATTATTATACATATATGTAAATTAAGTGTTCAATTTGTGCTCCAACAATATACAGGTTTTAAAATTTGTGCTCAAAAGACACCAGAGTTATTGCAGAAAAATCTCTGCCATTTATGACATCACTCGCTCTACCACATTGACCAAATTGTTGAAACTTATGTCAAGATTTTGTAAACTGTAACTGTTAAACACAAAAATTTTATATTTATATCTACAATAGAGTACAAATTAGTAGTACCTAAGGGATTATTTGATGTGTGTTTATGGTGGGGCCAACTTCACGCCAGTCTTTTTACTAGCAGCTTAGTGATAACTCCAAATAAAATTACACGTTTATAAGGTAGATATTCAGATCTGTGATGACTAGGGGTATAATAATAATAATAATAATATTAATATAACCTTAAGAAGATGTTGTTGATTTGTTTCCGGATAAATGCTCGAAGGCCAAGAAACTTGCCATAAATCCTATGTAAAACCGTTTTTAGGAAATCTCTTTCTCTTGGGTCTTCACTATCAAACAAATCTAAAAGCTGAAACAATATTATCACATTAGATAAATTATAAAATGCAATACATAGATTATTTGTAAAATAAAACTAGCAGCTATACCCATACTTTGTGACATGAGAGGAATTTAAATCTATTACTGTAGAACTCTGACTATCCAAACTCCAACCCTCCAAATTGACAACCAGCCGAAATGTTTACAAAAATAATTTCAAAACCTAAAACTAAAGTAATGACAATTGTTATTCAAGAAGGTGGAAGGGTAGAAGCCATGATCGTGGCAAAACCCTGAACATCTCCTGTGGTTGTGTAGTCATCATCCTCGTCTCCCGCAGTCACAAAAACATCATCGTTGTCTTTCAAGATTACGGAAAAATTTTAAACATCTTTTGCAGTCTTGTAGTAAACTTAATCATCATCTATCGTGGGCACAGAAAATTATCATCATCTCCCACAGTTACCTCAAATATGTCATTCTCATCAATCGAAGCAAATGCGCCAATTTTCAAATTCAAAATCTTTCCAGAAACGTGAAAAAACTAAGTATGTCCACCTCAGTTTTTGTAAAAATCCAACTATCCAAATTTGTCATTATCCCAATGTGGTATTGTCACATGTGATTTTGACAGATGGAGTTCCACTGTATATGAAATAGTTACCATAAAACCCACCATTGATTTAAGAAATACTATTGAATTAAAGTACAACCCTGCTAATCTGTTACCTATAGGACGATGGTCATAACAATGAATAGATTGGACTATCTGAGAAGCATATTAAATGACCAAGTCAACTGCCATTCATTGATCGTGCATGATGTAGAAAGATAATAATAATGTTACAGTGGGAGACAATTAGATGTTTTCATGACATAGGGAGATGTTAAATATTTTCATACAATTGCTGTAAACGACAATGTTACTGTGATCTTAAGAAACGTTCAATATTTGGCCACAATTGCGGGAGACTACAATGATGTTTCCTTTACCACATGAGATAATCAGAAGTATGCTACGATCGCAGATCGCAGATAACAACAATAATTTCTATGAAAGCGGGAGTTTGCCGCGATTGCAGATAGACCCCTAACAACAATTAAGTTTATGTGATTGTTGAAGATGATGACCACTCCGTGAGTTCGAGAGATGTTTAATATTTTGCCACGATCACAGAAGACAATTATGATATTCACACGACCGCGGGGGATGTTCAGGATTTTGAAGCAATCGCAGAAGACTATAATAATGTTTTCTGTGACCTAGGGTTCTTTTGAGATTTTTCAATCGAAGAAGACAATGATAATTCTTGTGACCGTAGGATAAATGTTTCCGAGATCACAAAAAACTCTGACTGATGTTTCCGTGGTTGGATGGGAAAACATGATTTTTCACGTTACTGCCGAAGACGTTGATCATATCTCTACATGGCAAATAGCCGCAATAACATTGTCACTGATAGGGGATAGCAAGGTCAGATTAAGTAAGGAGTCGGACAATCCGAGGTTGGATTAGAGGTGTGTAAATTGCTAAGTATGATGAAATGCTATTAAGAGGTGAAAAATTGTTAGCCTACCTAAAACGATATAAAAGTGGCACTGGTACGGATTTGAAAATACTGCAATATTCAATAAAAGTGTGCTCACTTGAAAGCTTGATCTATATTTATATTCAATAGGTAAAAAGAGCAAGCAATAAATCAATTACTGGAGGATCATAATCCTCTGGTATGCTGGGATTGGAGGGTTACCAAAAGGTAGGAAATCAAGGTATTGAAACCTTCTATTCCATATTCAAACATTATTTCATAAAACATTATGATGAAAATGAGTTTGAGTAAAGTGTTTTAAATGTCGTCAATACGGGGTATTCGAGGTCGTTTTAAGCGTAAATATATACTGTATTTTTTTTAGTTTTCTGTCATAACAATTACGTTATTAACGGATGTTTCTGTTTAAAATAAAGTAAAAATAACAAGTTATTTGTTAAAATTTGCAAAAATTTGAAATAATCATTACTAGTACAGAGTGTCCAGCATCCCATCAAAATAAAATTCAAGGACAGTTCCAGGTTTTCCAGGGTCAAAGTTATAATTTTCCAAGACAAAACATACCGCTCAAAAAAAGCAAAACTACAATTCTCGCATATTTTCCTAATCATCAAAATTCAAGTACAGTAGGATCTCGTTAATCCGGCCCTATATGGGGATTAGTATGGCCGGATTATAGAAAATGCCGGATTAGTGGAAATGCATCAGAAATTGAAGTGGTTTTACAATAAACAACATTTTATTGCTTACGAAAACTATGATAACAATCATTTGAATTTCTGTACAGTATAGGCCTAATGAAATGTTGTTTAATGTATTATTGTGAAAAATAAACAGTGATATGAAACAGCAAACAACCGTACAGTACAATATCAGACGATGAACAAAGATAATCACTAAATACTGTACGTGTACAAAATGAAAATTACAGAACTTTAGGCCTACTGTACACTTTACATATAAGACCTACTTAAACAACAGCAAAATAGTTTGTAATATTTTTCTGCTTCTTTGCATTAAAAGAAAGTTTTAAAACATTTTCCTGGAGCCTCTTTAGTGTCATAATATCGGAAGCCGAAGAACCGTTTTCTTCCGCCCAAGTTATTGCAGTTGCGTAGGCACAGAGCGCCGAATCCGTGTTGACTGTGTGTGCAGCTGCAGCTGTCGACGTCGACGTACTGGCTCCGCCCACTCCGCCCTCCTCGTCCCCCTCCTCCACGTCACAGCCGTCTAGAACATCTTCGATGATCTCATCGTCTGTCATGATTTGACACTGCTCGTCGTCTGCTCCGTCTAACCAGGCGGTAACATCGGCTGATGTCAGATCTTCTGGATCGTCTACTAACTGTTCGGCTATTGCTTCTCTCAAGTCATTTAGCTCAGCATCTGTTGTCACTGTCGTTTGAGGATTTGATTGTCTTCTGTAATCCTCTAATAAATCAAGAGAAGGCCACAACTTCGCCCATGAACAAACAATTGTTTTTGTTGCAAGTTTTTCCCATGCGCTTGCAAGATTAAAAACAACATCTTTCAGGTTGGTTTCCTTCAGAGCTGTAACAACACCCCCCTCTTTTGACAAAACACTGTACAAAAGGGTTTTTTTGTAATTCGTTTTTATAGTTTGGATCACATTTTGGTCCATGGGCTGGAGTATCGGAGTTACATTTGGGGGCAAAAATAAAGCAGTGATTTTTCCATCCCTACTTTTTAACTCATCCTCATCTGGATGTCCAGGACAATTATCGAGCAACAAAATGGCCTTTTGAGGCAGTTTTTGTGCTTTCAAAAACTTTTTTACCGATGGTACAAACGTTTGATGGAACCATTCCAAAAAAAGAGTTTTTGTCATCCATCCTTTTGTCGAGTTTGTGTATGTAACTGGCAACTGTGTGTTTTTGAAAGCCCTTGGCTTTTTGGCTTTCCCAATAACAAGCAATTCTAATTTATGTGTGCCACTAGCATTACAACACGGCATAAAAGTTACTCTATCTTTGGCCAACTTGCGACCAGGGGCACTAGCTTCCTCTCTATGAACGAATGTTTGTTTCGGCAAAAGACGCCAAAACAGACCACTCTCGTCAGCATTGTAGATCTGATCTGGGCCTAAGTCCATTTCATCCACGATTTCTTTAAATTTTTCAATAAAAGGCTCTGCAGCCGCTACATCACACGAAAGCCTTTCACCAGTCATAGTTAGCAGTCGAATTCCAAAGCGTCGTTTGAATTTATCCAGCCACCCAACACTTGCACGGAAGTCGTCCTTTTTCATGATTTTGTTATAGAACAGTTTCGCCTTTTCCATTATGATATCACCTGAAATTGGCGTGTGTCGGCTCCTTTCTTGCATGAACCAATTATAAAGTGCGTCTTCTACTTGCGGAAATTCGCCTACTTTTAATGTCTTTCTTACCTTCGAAGATGATTCACTACTCCTCTTAAAGAATGATTCGATCTGCTCCTTCTTCTTCTTTATGTCGTGTATAGTTGCACGGCCGATATTGTATTCCTTAGACAGATGAGCCAACTTTTCGCCCTTTTCCAAACGTTTTAAAATCGTATACTTTTTATCTAAAGTCAGCGTTACATGCTTACGTTTTCCCGACATCGCACTACACTTGTAGATTGTATAGTATATACACTGTACTCACAACACTGCCTTCACTCAACTCACTGTACGCAACTACCCGTAGCAGACGTCAGTCGTCAGTGTACTGCTGTTGTGAAATATGGACACTCGCGTTTTCAAGTCTAGACATGAAAATTTACTGAATATTCGGCGAAAACACAGTGCCGGATTACTGGACGTGCCGGTCTAATGAACGGCCGGATTATAGAGACTCTACTGTAATTGTACTTACAAGCTTACAATCATTAAAAATATTGGGACAGGTATTAAGATAAAAATCACTTGAACAACGTGAGGATGTGCGGATGTTGGGCATATATTCTGTCAGACAACAATACGTTACAATTGACCAACTTCCACTACTGTTGCTGCTATATTCAAAGCAGAAGATGGCTTTGGGCTCTTGGGACATCAAAATGAAAAAGAATATCGGTCCCCAGCCCAGGTCTTTGTGATGATTTCTAATATCCTTGATATTACAACTTTGATCAGCAGTCCTGTTTACTATGCAAATTTAACTTGTTTATTTGTGTTAATGTTGTTCTCATTTCTGTGGAAGAAGGCCTTAGGCCGGGGCCACACTTGTAATTTTTAACCAGCGAGACTGGTTTTTCCGTTTTCACGTGCGAAGCACGTGAAACAGTTTAACCGTGGCCACACTCGTCTTACGAGATAGGTTTTTCGGGCAAACCAGTGAGACTGATAGAGCATGCCACACTGGTAATAAAAATCGTCCGTGTCCGTGTTCGCCCCCCTCCCCTCCATGCTCACTGTACAGTATAGAAACGTCCGTGGAAAAAATCAGCGAGATAAGATGAGTGTGTTCACTCCCATTAGCCGCAATGCCCCGCGACTAGTTTTACGTGCAACGCCCGTGGAATGTTAGTAGAGAATACACGTGCAATTCCGTTTGTCAGTCTCGCTGGTTTTACCAGCGAGACTGACAAACGCATTCACGGACGTTTTTACTCTAGTGTGGCCTGCCCCATATACCGTAATGTATCTCTCAAACCCACGGGTAACGCCCGTGGAAAAAATTCAGCGAGATAAGATGAGTGTGGCCCCGGCCTCACACAGCATTCGAAGCTGATGGTAAGCTATACCAGTTCACTAGAATTCCCTTTGGTGTCACCAACGGTGTAGCCTGCTTTCAAAGAGTGATAGACTCCATAATATCAAAAGAAAATCTTAAAGGAGTGTATGCTTATTTAGATGATATTACCATCTGTGGCGGCTCTCAAGCAGAACATGATGAGAATTTACAAAGGTTTCTTCAAGTAGCTAAAAAGTATAAGTTTACTTTGAACGATAAGAAGTCCAAGTATTCTCTTAGTTCAATAAAGCTATTAGGTTATTTGATATGTAATAAAACCATGAGACCAGATCCAGACAGACTGAAACCGTTGTTGGAAATGCCTCCTCCCAAAGATGCAACATCTCTTAAGCGTGCTGTGGGAATGTTTGCCCATTACTCTTATTAAGTGGATACGTAATTTTTCAGACAAAATACAAAACTTGGTCCGTTGTAAATCTTTTCCTTTGCCTCAATCTGCAAAATCTGCCTTTGATGAACTGAAGAAGGACATTGCCAGCTCGATTATTTCTACCATTGACCCAGAAAGTCCACTACTGGTAGAGACTGATGCATCTGACTTTGCTGTTGCTGCAACTCTAAGTCAAAATGGAAGACCTGTAGCATTCTTTTCCAGAAGTCTTTCTGACACTGAAAGAAGACACTCTGCTATTGAAAAGGAAGCAAGTGCCATTGTAGAAGCTGTACGGAAATGGAAACACTTTCTTATCGGTCATCATTTCAAACTCATACCTTTCCTTTTTGTTTGATATGAATCACTCAAGTAAGATCAAAAATGACAAAATTTTGAGGTGGCGACTTGAGTTGTCGTGTTACAGTTTTGATATCGTGTATCGTCCAGGAAATAAAAATGTCGTAGCAGATTCATTCTCAAGAGTCAGTGCCTCGGTTACTGAAAGGCCTAATCATCTCTTTGATTTACATCAAGCACTAAGCCATTCGGGTGTGACTCGAATGTACCACTAGATTAGGAGTAAGAATCTCCATTATTCCCTACAGGAAGTAAAGAATATAACAACGTCGTGTCCTGTTTGTGCTGAGGTTAAGCCACGTTTTTACAAACCTGTTGATCAGCACCTAATCAAGGCTACTTCGCCATTTGAAAGATTGAATATTGACTTCAAAGGACCTATTCCATCCAGCACAGGAAATAATTATTTACATACCATCATAGATGAGTATTCCAGATTCCCATTTGCATATCCGATATCCGTGTAGGAATACTAGTTCGTCTACTGTGATTAATTGTCTTAGTAATCTATTTTCAATGTTTGGAATTCCAAGCTACATCCACTCCGACAGAGGATCTTCATTTTTATCTCAAGAACTAGTATCGTTTTTACATTCTCGTGGTATCACCACAAGCAAAACAACACCTTACAATCCAGAAGGAAACGGACAAGTCAAGCTCTTTAACGGAACACTTTGGAGAACAATAACCCTTGCACTGAAGAGAAAGAATTTACCAACTAGGCAGTGGGAGCGTGTTCTCAATGATGCATTGCATGCTATTAGATCTTTACTGTGTACGGCTACCAATGCTACTCCCCACGAACGGTTTTTTGTGCACTCTAGGAGATCAAGCAATGGAATTGCTTTGCCCACATGGCTAAGTTTTCCTGGACCAGCTCTACTAAAATGCCATAATCAGTCAAGCAAGTACGACCAGAAAGTGGATGAAGTAGAGATGATCGAAGCTAACCCTCAGTATGATCGTGTTCGAAATCAAAATGGACAAGAATCGAACGTGTCTCTAAAGCATTTGGCTCCTCGAGGGGATGTGAGACTTCTCAGAGATGAATCCGACACTGCTATGGCCCAGACATCAAATTCTCAAGAAGAACAAGATGAGGCACAAAATGATGATGTACAAATAAATGAAAATCCAACCGATGAAATGGAAACAAGTGAAAGTGTACCTAATTTACCAGTAACTTCTCAAAGACCATTCAGGGAGAAAAGACTTCCAAAATACCTACAAGATTATGCACACAATTTTAACCAGGGGAGAATGTGATGATTTCTAATATCCTTGATATTACAACTATGATCAGCTGTCCTGGTTACCATGCAAATTTAACTTGTTTATTTGTGTTGTTCTGTAATGTTGGTTTTTACTCAAATAAAGCCTTATAATTTGTAAAAGGTTTATTCATTATTTCAACAGTCTTCTTCACATGCCACCTATGGTAATAGCTACTTCCCTATAAAGAAATTTGCTAAGCATTTGAAAGCAAATAAAATGTTTATGTAAACGTAAAATTTGAAATAAGAAATGAAAATAATGTTAATAAAGAAAACAATAACAACGCCTAAATAGTCTTAAAAATTTTCAAATCCAGTATTATCAAAATTATGCTAAACCAACCCACTACTGGATTTAAAAAAACACAATAAGGCTTCTTTCCTAGTTTAAAAAGTAAAAATTGTATTTTTGTGTATGTTGGTAATGCATTAGTGACATTATTTCTCAGTGTTATACAATAAAGACAAAAGCACCTATTTAATGAAAATGTCAACGGAATAAAGTGTATCATGGTAAGGTAGTATTTAGCTACTTTTAATCAGTGCATAATTAGCTTTCAATTATACTTAAGGGCTATACCTCATAGATCTATAAAGCTGCTGAGTCTTAAGTTTGATCATTGGATAGAACTAAAAAGATTTATTAGCATTTTGTTTTGAGCTGAAACTGTCAGATTGTGTTTGCAAAGGTTATGAGTATTCCTATAATCGTTTTACCTGCATAACTGGAAAAATACATACTTAATACGAACCCATCTGCTGATTTGAATATAATACATAGAACGGGCACACAGCTAGTCATTAATAATGAAGGATTTCTAATACATTACACCACAAAAATCAATGTTAAAAACAAGGTAAATGTACAGGCAAGAAATAATATGTATTTAAAATGTTTTTGGGAAATTTCTTATTCAAAACCTCATTAAAATAAAATTGCGTAGGCAAATTATCTATGCTAAGCTTTAGTTAAATTATTTATTGTTCTAGTATAAATAATAAGAAAAGCAAATGAACACAACATACCTGTAACACAAATTTTTGGTCTATTACTTTCTTTCCAATCGTAGGCTGAAAGTCGGATGATTCCAGAAATCTCAGGAATAACTCGTATACAAGCTAAAACAAACACCTTAAGTAAAAAAAAATTATTAAATTCGTATGTGTATAAATATGTGCTTATTCTGGTAAAACAAGAGATTTGAAGTTTAGGAGGTTAAGGTTACTGGGACATAAACTCTATGATTCTGAAATTTAAAGTAAGTAAAATCTTTAGCGATTGTAACTTAACCGATTAACCATCATTCTTCATTATTTATCACCATGTACACACAATTTGGGATTTTTTTATGTGGCGTTATTTCAAGTTATTAAATCATATACATGATGATGGTATGCAAGAATACTCCCCAAAATAGAATAGTAAAAGACCATGTAACCTCGAATCTTGACTTTAAAAGTAGCACCTAATACCAACTATTTTTATCATGTATTCTTTCTGTAGATCTATGAATTTACATCAACACATAAAGCAAAAATTAAGTGCTTCGTCATCAAACTGAATGATCATTCAATTTCTTTTAGGTGTATTTGGTAACCTTCGCACTCTTGATCCTGACAGTGAAGAGTAGAGGAGAGTACTCTGCACTGAACTAAAGTCATTATAGAGCTAACTAATGGAATTATTTTACAATGTTAAGTAGTAAAAATACCAGTGTTAGTGTTGTTCTAATAAACTGTCACCTAGCACTACAGTTAATAATTTAATGAGAAACAAAATATTTCAATTGCAAATAATACAAATATATATTCAAGCGGATGATACTGTGTGTTTTATTTTAAATCATGCACACTTTGATTTACCATCCGCATACATTTTCAGAACAATCCTACACTCTAGCAAAGTCAGTTTGTCTGTCTGTCTGCCTATCTGTATGATCTCGAAAGCCAGCGGAAAGATTTTTATTTTGACTAAATTTTGAATTTTGGAATTAGGCTAAGGACTTATAGCCTTAAAAACGTGATTGACAACAGCCACTACCTCAGGAAAATTTGCATTTCGCTACACAACTTATTTGAAAATTTTAAAATTTAACATTGGCCTTATGGCATGCCAAGTAACTATGATGGTTGAACAAAATAACAAGTAAAAAGTAAACAAAAGACTTGTAACATGTGTTTATAACAAGCCATCTACATAGTATACTAGCAGATTATAAAATATAGTACAAAGTGATTAACATCCGTTGAAACAGTATTAACCCTGCAGTGGTGACATGATTTTGAGGCTTCAACTGGTGACATAGACTAAATATTAGAATTGTTTTGAAAAAAAATTATAATAAGTATTAAGAAGAAGCATCCTGTTACGAGTGGTAATACAAGTGAAAAACATATTTTGAAGTGAGGGAAAATAACTTATTGCATTGCATGTTTTTTCTAAACTTGATTCAGAAAAGAATTCAGCAATTTTAACCTAAATATAAGATAAACAATAAAAGGTTAAATTACCTGTGTCCGCCCAGTCGATCCTTGTGCTGTGTCCTATTACAGGATATGCATTTCGGCAGAATAAACTGCCATCATCAGTCCTAATATAAGTCCTTGTTCTTCCCCATTGGGTGCGTCTTGAAGTTTTGAAACACGTACACGAACGATATTACACTTAGATACATTACAAATAAAACATAAAACACGGTAGGCCTACTTTAATTGAGCTATTACGGACATGTAGACGCGCGTCGGTCGTGTGTCGAGTCTCGACTGGGGTCAGACGTTACTTGCAGAGTTGACCTTTGTCCTGTCTCTGTCCTTTGTAGCTACAGGTGGCGTTTCATTCAACTTTAACAATGCTTCGAATAATATGTTGGATTGTAGTGTACTTTTATCATTCAGGAGGTTGTGGGGGGTTGTTTTAGATGCTCTATAAATTTCATATTGCTCTAGTGATGTCATTACTCGACTTTTTCTACAAATGTGTAAAGGTTTTAAATTTTCATTCAGGCTGGAATAACTGTGATTGCTGTCAATTAGGTGTTCGGCAAAATTGGATTGTTGTGTTAAACTATTTTTGGGAAGGTGTTCTTTAAACCTCTTAATAAATGGTCTGCCAGTCTGTCCAATATAGAATTTATTACAGTCACTGCATGTTATTTTGTATACTCCGGATTTATCACTCAGGTTTTTAACATTTTGTTGGGCTCTAGGTTTGAGGAGATTTTGGACTTTATTAGATGTTCTAAACGCTACAGTTTTTCCGTGTTTTTTTAATTCATTTTTTAAAGTTTGGGTGATTTTTTCTCCGTATTCAACTGAGACGAATTCTGTTTTTAATTGAGGCCTTGGATCTGTAGTCTCTTTACTAATTTTCTTTCTATGTCTGCTGATTAATGTGTCGATGATGTTAGGATTAAATCCATCATTGACAGCTATATATTTGATGACATTTCTCTCATTCTCGAAGTTTGCGGTACTAAGTGGTACTGATAGTAATCTATGTACCAAACTATTGTAAGCTGCTAATTTATGTGCTAGGGGGTGGTGGGAGGTTTCATGGATGGTTGTGTCTGTTGCTGTAGGCTTCCTGTATATGTTGAATGAAATATTTTCTTCGTTTTTTATTAAAGATAAATCTAAAAAATTAAGTTTGTTGTCAGCTTCTAATTCAGTGGTGAAACCTAGTTTAGGATGAAAGCTGTTCATGTAGTTGCTGAAAAGTTGAAATTACCTGTTATTGCCATCGTACAAGGTCACAATGTCATCCACATATCTGTAGTAAAAAATTTTTTTACTTTTTATTTTTAATTATTTTGCATTTTTGTCTGACCCCAGTCGAGACTCGACACACGACCGACGCGCGTCTACATGTCCGTAATAGCTCAATTAAAGTAGGCCTACCGTGTTTTATGTTTTATTCGTAATGTATCTAAGTGTAATATCGTTCGTGTACGTGTTTCAAAACTTCAAGACGCACCCAATGGGGAAGAACAAGGACTTATATTAGGACTGATGATGGCAGTTTATTCTGCCGAAATGCATATCCTGTAATAGGACACAGCACAAGGATCGACTGGCGGACACAGGTAATTTAACCTTTTATTGTATGTCTTACCGATCCGGAACAACAACAACATAAAATAAATATAAGAACTCAATATCTATACAATTTTTCTAATATTTTAGTGACGTCAGTCTGTGGGACCATAAATTATTATATGTTTATAAAATTAGTAGTAACTTATAGTAATGACAAACAATAAAAATGGTTTTCTAAAACATAATCAATTATATATAGTAATGTATTACTATGTGTACATATATTTTGCCGTTCGGGGGAAATACATTCGCTTGAACGCATATGGTGACGTCGGTGCATCAGGCCGAAAATTACAATATTCAAAACACCTATAGGGACCTCGGTGTACCAGACCGCTCACACTTTCAATGACATCGGTGAAGGGGACCGTTGAAAGCTGCTGGGCACTACCACTTAACTTCAAAATTCCAACCCAGCAGCTGAAGGCACACGAAGGGAGTGTAATGCAAATTGCTGTGTGAGCGGCAGCAAACACAATTTTTCAGGGAACTGGTAAACTATAGTCCAGGCAAATTAGATCAAATATAGGGTGTGCTCCCCAAAAAATCGTCTAAAGCTGGAAAGTGTTTTAATACCTTTTGGGGGTCCCAAATAAGACTCCTGTGAGTTTGCGACGGATCCTGACGTCTGCTTAAGTTTTGGGAGTAAAAAAACTATGAAAATTTTGTTTTTTTTGTAGTTTTTCGCCCGTAACTCCTAAATAACGAATCTTAAGGAAAATGTTGTCAAAAGGTGTCTTTTAGTGCATTAAATTCTGCGTCGATTGATGTTAAATACGTCAAAATCGTCCGAGCCGTTTAGCCGCTGTAGCTTTTCAAAGGTGGGATATTTTCATCAACATGGCCAAAAGGTTGATTATTTCACCAGTTTTCGGCTTAAAACTCCTAAACGACGCATGCTATACAAAAATACACCTGTAGTTAGTTTTGAAAACACAAAATTCTGCGTATAATGTTTTTTTTATTAATCAATAACGGCAATTGATTGTTACCTACTTTGTATGGACGCCATTTCATTGAAAAAAGTATTAAAGTTAAAGTTGGGAAATTTTAATAAAATTGGTAACAACATGGATCCTGTCCTTAAATGGATTATGAATTATTAGATAGTGGTTTATTCCATGATGGTCATCTAGAGGTTTATCTAATAAGGTGTGATGAGAGTAAGACCCCCTATGTAATTTTAAGTCTAATATTGTTGTCTGAGGTTCCGAAAATTCCAGGATTCATCCCAACCACCCATTATATACGATCTATCCCTGTATCCATCTTTCAGTTTTTGGCTTACATCTTCTAACGCATGCGATAGAAAAAATTTTCCTGTAGTTAGTTTGAAGAGCATAAACGTCTGCGTAGAATGTTTTCCAAATCATTAAGATCGGCTTCACCATTTAACCGCTATTGATTGTTAACACTAGATCAGATGCTTGTCAAGTTTAAAATCTTACCATTGAAATCTGGCAAACAACCAGCCTAATTACCAAAAACATAGGGGATATGGCAGTGAATCTATCCACTAGTGTGACGTCATGGATCCTGCAGCATGGCCTATGAACAAGTAAGTGCTCATGAAAGCAACATCTTACTGTGGAGAGCTTTTTCCGAGATAGGGGAATCAATGATGTGGACCTAGCCCGATGGTTCGCTGGCAGGCCCATCGCAGTGAATGCTACCCATCAAGTTAAGGTATATTGTGGGATCACCTCTTCAACATATTATCAGCAAGTTGACAATATAAACTCCACGGATACGGTGGGATAAAAAAAAATTCATCAAATGGTTCCAGTGTCACGACCCATTTACTGAAAATAGTTTGCTCATGTCAATCAGCTCAGCAGTTATCCCATATGATAGCATCAACGCGAGATATGTATAAAGCATAATGGAAAGGCACAGCTTGCAAGAAAATCGTAAATAGGCAAGCCTATAATGACCATAAACTGTGCAGAATAAAAGGAAGTGGTGACATTAATCGTGAGCTGTGATGGCAACAGCAAAGGTTAAAGAAGAATCTGCCCCCTCAGTCAACACGTGATTAAATTTACCACATTAAAACTCCACATTAATTTACCACATTAAATCCAAGCCTCAATTTGAATCATACTTTGGATTAAAAATAGGTCCGTACCCACTAGCGCAGTTTGATGAAGAAAGCGTGATGTAGAAGAGTCGAAAATCAAACTATTCATGTAGCCTAAAACTACTCATGCTGTTTACTCCAATCAATGTGGATCTCACTGTGTTCTGACGGGTTACAACGCTTGGCGAAGTTGCAGAAGCAGGTTGGCCCTATACATGGTTGGAATCAGAAAATATCCAAATCAAGTGAGAGTTGGTCTCTTCTAGAGGACACTTTCAACTAATTTTGACTTTGATTCTAACAAAAGGGGCTGCTCATTCACCAATCCTTTAGAGCTCATTTAAAATTGTACTTAATTCGGAGAGATAGGTATGGAAAATTAACGTCAATGGGTTAACTCCCATCACTACGGCTAATCCACCGGTTCGACAAGAACTTCTCAACTCCGTCTACCTATCTCGACCATCGTGTACATGTTAAAAAGGTTTACACTTTCTCGCTCCATATGAAATGCAGGGATATAATGCACTAATGTCTGAAAGACTTGCAAGGGGCACGTGGGCACGATTATCTCAATTCGATATCTGACGAAAAAGATGGTACCGAATGTCAACATTTGTGGCAAGACCAATAAGAGCAAAGAATGAATCCTTATTCTTAAGATTCCAATGATGAGAAGTAGAAAAGTTATATGGTAAAATCTACGAAAAATCCCAATCGTTTTTTTTAATAGGCTAAATACATAGTAAAACTATGTACATCCGTCCCATTATCATCTTTCGTTTATTAAGCTAAAAAATAACATTTTTGCTATATTTAATAAAATCTTTCTCGTTGTAATATCTTATTATATATTAGAATCGCTTAACATCATTCCGGAGTGTCCAGAGATGGGATCGTATAAATGGGAGCTTAGGACGGATCCTAGAATTTTTGTAACCCCCTCAACAATATTAGATTTAAAATTGCATAGGGGGTCTTGCTACCCTTCCCTTCACACATTCTTGGAAGAACCTCTGGATGATAACCATGAAATAAACCACTATCTAGTCATTCATAATCATAATACTACGAAAGATTTTGTGTTTTCCAAACTAACTACAGGCGCATTTTTGTAAAGCATGCGTCGTTTAGGAGTTGTAAGTCGAAAACTGGTCAAATAATCAACCTTTTGGCCATGTTGATGAAAATATCCCAACTTTGAAAAGCTACAGCGGCTAAACGGCTCGGCCGATTTTGACGTATTTAACATCAATCGACGCGGAATTTAATGCACTAAAAGACACCTCTTGACAACATTTTCCTTAGGATTCGTTATTTAGGAGTTATAAGCGAAAAACGGAAAAAAGTGCAAAATTTTCATATTTTTTCGACTCCCAAAACTTAAGCAGACGTCAGAATCCGTCGCAAACTCACAGGAGTCTTATTTGGGACCCCCAAAAGGTATTAAAACACTTTCCAGCTTTAGACGATTTTTTGGGGAGCATATGTCTAATTTGCCTGGGCTACTATGACTGAACTTTGCGTCGGTCTCAGAGACTGTGCGTTACCACTGCTGGGTTAAGCAAAGATTACACTGAAGATTACTCGATATAGGGGGAAATAGAGCAAGTCAGTCTTGATGAGTGTTTCGTGTTGTTGCCGTTTGGGTGCACTGGCCTCATTTCACGGTTTCACTCTTATTTAAAGGTAGATTTTACGATTGTCATACACTTTTTTTATAGTTTACATAATTTGGGCAGCTATATTCATAATAAATTGAAATTAGACTAGAACTTAAATAATAAAAGCCAAAATTTGTTGTAAAAAACGTGAGTTTCTTTTTCTTTTATATTGCTTTTTTTCCTAAATCAAAATAAACTATACCAAGCAATGGCTCGGTTCCCTGGTACTGTCTTCATAAAAAGACCAGTAAAATAGATACAAACTCTCTTTCACTAGTTATTCAATATTTTAGAGGATCTTTTAAAAGGCTTTGTCTTATTGACTGGATTATGAGATTACTAATTCTTGTAAAAGATGATGCTTATCATAGAAAATTATAATTCATAGCAATTTAACATTTCTTACCGTTAAATGTGGCCAAGACGCTTCTAACGTAGGGTCATCTTCCTCTGGATCAAAGTCTGGATTTTCACTTGGTGGTAAAGTTCGAAACAAGTTAGCAGAGATCTGCAAAATTTGTAACATAGTATAAGTGCAATTCTATCATAGTTTTTATTATTAATTAAATATTAACAAATATAGCATTACAAACTAAGGCCAAGGGAGTAATATTTCAAAATAATACAATGACAGTTGATATCAAGTGCTAAGTTTTTAGTCATTTTCAAAATAAACTTATCACACACTTTTTTAAAAATTTCTATATTTCGGCATTAGCCGAATATATATAGAAATTTTTAAAAAAGTGTGTGATAAGTTTATTTTGAAAATGATTAAGCCGTTTGGCAATATTATGAAGAAACTAAGTTTTTAGTCATAACCTTTAAGCCTATCAAGATCCACAAAACATAAATTAACTGGACAAAATATTTCAGTTTGGGATTCAAACAAAGAAGAACAGTACATCATTATTAAATCAGTACAATTTTTGGGAATTTCCAAAACGTTTATCTTAAGAAAGAGATGTTGATCTAATATGTGTAACTAGTCTAATCTAATAATGACTAGTCTAATTTGTTTAACTAGACATTATTACCATTTGCTGTGATATTTATCATATATTTATTTTCTCAACTTTGTTTCGGTAATCCTAAGTGTAGGTAGTGGATTATAGCTGTAATGGTCACACACATGTTATTATTATGTCATCTTTTTTACCTTTGGCCGTCTGTAAAAAATTGCAATGTAAAATGGTGTTTGCCGTAATTAAATAAATAAATAAATACGTTCAGCCTCAAATTAGCCCCTTGAAGTAATTAATCAATCCGAATTTGTCAATTTTGAGTTGGTTTATTTAGACTGATCATGGTTGAATACGTTGATTTGTGATAGGCTACAAGGGCTAGACAGAAAATTTAAAAGAAGGCAGTGGGCAGGTTAGCGATCTTAACATTAGAATGTGTCTACATTGAGTACACAACCACCTGTAGCCATCAACACACTTGTACCGCCTTTTAAGCTTTTACGAGAGGTCGTCCAGTGGTCGAAACTCGACCAAAAATATGTAATGTAAACTTACTCACTTCTCTATTTTCACCCCACACTGTAAATAAAACATGTGATTGGAGTTTCTCCCATTTGTTTTGATTTTCTGTTTATATTTCGTTGTTATTTCGTCACCAGCATGGCAACGCATAAGATCCATGTTAATTTTTTCAAATTTTTAAACTCATTTTTTGTGCTTATCTTTGAGCCTATTTAAATTTATAAAGGGATTCTGCACACCTACAGGAAAATAGCTATCTAACGGTATGCGTAGATTTGCCCCACGATGCACACGAGCTGAGAAAAAAGGTTTTAAAGAAACATGCTTGCCTATTAATATATAGATAGATACACTAGAATTTAAAAATGAGATGACTGTTAGTGAAGTATGAGTTGAGATAATATTTTTGAAAGCAAGCAGATTTAAATTTATTTGCCAGATTTGTGAAAACTACAGCGGCCAGGAATATTGAATAGCAAAGTGAGGCAGTGGTGCTTTAATTTTTTTAATTGCCCAACCAATTTTCAAAATAATGAATGCTGTGTTAGGCCTAGTTTTGTGACTGACAAATTGGACTGATGAATGAATTTAAAAAAAAAATCCTTGAAAAAAATTAAAATAATTACTGCATGATGACCTAACTTTCCATTAAACATTCTCAAAAAAATTGTTTTTTAATTCATCAACTTGTGCATGGATGTAATTAATTTTTTTCCAGGTGGGTTTCTAAATTCACATTGGAAGATAACAAAAACACCAAGACTTACTGCAGTACTAGCATTACTGAAAGAGCAAATGAATCAGCAATTGTAAAACAACTGGTGACAATCAATCCAGAGAGGTGTTGAAAACACATTGAATATTAGTTTATGCAATATAAAACAATCATCATGGTTTTGTTTTTCCACAACTACAGTACGTCCACTCCTTTCACACACACAACAAATTGTACCTGAAAGAGCTCAAAACCAAAACCATAGGATGGAAATATAATTCACTTTATTTTAAGATTTGGCACCAATTTACTGCAATCTGTATTCAGTGATAAGAAACAGCTTTCTAAACACATTGACTTTTTTCTCCTTTTTTGTGGGAAGAAGGTAAAAATGCATTTACGCACACTGAGATGCTCAAAGGCCTCTCCCGGTCAATGGTAGTGCTGGATTCCCGCGGGATTAAATGTCTCCGGACTACGGGCTAAAAAACTCCCCTCATCTCCTGGGACACTAGCCTAGAACTGTTTAGCACATTACTTCGGGCTAGGCCTTTTAACATGTTCGCTGTGGGTGGGTAAGTAATGACCCACGGCGATCGCAACCCTCACACGGCCAGGTCAGTACCCACACTGCAGTGCATCAATCTGTTGCTCATTGCGAGCCTAGCGTCGGTCGAAGGCGGACCTATACCACGTTAGCGTATAGTGGGTGACATGCTTTTCTTTGTGGTGTAAGTTGGTAGTAAATTTTCTCGTAAAATCCCCGTCTGGCAAGCTTAGAAATCAACTTGTTGCCCCGTTTTTCTCCCTCCAGTTGGCAATACAATGAGACCGGCTACGTTCCAAGCAGTGCTGCTATCTGTGGGTGTTTTAGCGAACTACATCGACTCTCGTTGTAACGCAGTACATCACCACACTGCTATTTGCACACATTATTTGCTATTCGTCAGACCAAAATTTGAAAGCCAATCGCCTGGGAATCTGGTTTGTTTAACGCTGTGCCGCACAGGGGATATGCCTGCCATTGATGGTCCTCAGCGAATGTGTTAAGCTATGCCACTAGGGCTTTACTTCTTATTTCCTCCGAAAACTACAGCCGATCAGGATCGACCTTCTTAGCCCTAAGTATGGCCTCGGTGAACTGCTTTACACAGTTCCAGGTTCCCTCCCCCTAGAGCATAGCTCCAATGATGTTGTTCGGAGTAACGTAGACACCAATGTCAGAGATCAAGAAGGCTCGATGGACATGCCACCTGTCGCAAAAGAAGAAGGTGTGCTCGGCCGTGTCTGGAATGCCAGGACAGTATAGAGAGTCCGGGCTGGCAACCTTCCCCATTCTGTTCAAAAAGGCCCTTAAGTACCTGTGACCAGACAAAAACTGGGTCACAAAATACTCAACCTCACCATGCTCCCATTCAACCCATGGTCGGATGCTAGGAATGAGCATTGCTGTCAAACGTCCCCGAGACTCAAGGCCCCTTGAAGCTGAACGCGGGAGAGCCTGTCATGGAAGAAACGGCTCTCCAGCACATGGGCCCAGACCTTAGCACGGTACAATAGCACTGATTGGACAGCAGACATCAGTAGGCAGCGCTTACAGGAGCGGGGGCTGCCAACGTTTGGTGTAAGCGTACTAAGGGCAGCAACTCCCTTAGCGGCTTTGTCAACGGTTCCCTTAATCTGCTCACCGAAAGACATCTTGCTACTAATTATAACACCAAGGTATTTGGCATATGGCTTGGTTTCCAGTTGGGCATAGCCTACTTGCATAGGAAAGACACTGGGAATTCTCTTCTTGGTTAGGACCACGATCTTGGTCTTTTCGATCGCCAGTGACAAGCCGTGATCCTGCATCCACTCGTCGACACGGAGCATTACAACACCAAGTTTTAGCTCTGCTTTTTCGACATTTTTGCCTGCAACCAGAGAAGCGACTTCATTGGCATACATTTATAGTCTTAGCAGACTGTCGTAAGACACATTCCATGTGCACCCCAGAAGTGACAGAGATCCGACGCTGACCTTCGGTAGTGTCAAAAAGCAAGACACGGTCTGAAAGGTTGGACTCGATCATTTGAAGGATGTAAGGAGGAACGCAGAATATATGCTCGTCGCCCATAACATATCGCTCCACCTGGCGGAGTTGAACACGTTCTTCAAGTCAAGAGTGACGAGAAGAACCAAGCAGCACGACCAGTCGTTGTGGTTCTCCGCACTCTGCATAGCCAGAACTACCTCTTGGATAGTGTCAATGGTCGAGAGACCGAAACGAAAACCATCCTGCTGCGGGGACAAATCACTCGCAGAGACGATAGCCTCAGTCAGTTGGACACAATCATCCAACTCCATCACTTTGCCGATGGTGTCAAGCATACACAATGGACGGAAAGAAGGGGGGATCCACAGTGCACACTTTGCCTTGGGAATCAAGACAAGGCAGGCCACCTTCCACGCCGTCCACTAAACAGGCATTGAACATATCCAACAGAACATAGCTTTGGATCGTACTCGACAACGAGCCCGAGGATTTTCGCAGGAATGCCATCAGGACCGGGTGCAAGTCGATTTCTCAGGAACCGGACAGCGGAGGTAAGTTCCTCTTCCCCAAAGGCTTGGAAAGCTACCCGAATTCCCTAGCTGGTCGCGCTGGGTGCTTTGGAAACAACGAGTCGACGACAGCAGCCATGGCAACAGGTTCCATGACCACAGGTGGTGATCGCTTTTGGGTTACTATCTTGTAGCCCATCCACCAGGGGTTGTTGTCGACGTCCTGACACGGTTGCTTCCAACACCTGACCTTACTCTGGTTGATTGCACCGCGGAGATTTTGCCTGGTGGCCTCGTGCTCTGCTGATCTGGCATTTGCTTCAGGCCGGTTTCTGGCACGCTGCGCTGCAATTCAAAGGTCTAAGCATCTTCTCCAGTGTTCCGCAATCTCAGGTGTCCACCAGTAAACTGGCTTCTTCCCACGGCGGGCGGATTTCTAGGCATGGAACAGTCACAGGCCGATGAGATGAACGCATCGTCAAAGTGGCATGAAATTCGGCACTTCCAACTTCTCGACAGTTTGGTCCCCGTCACATCCCTGAAAAGTGTCCCGGCCAAAACGACCGAGATTCCAACGTCGAGGCGGATGGGCTGAGTTGGCATATGGACGCCTTCGCTCAGAAAGTACCCTGAAAACAATTGACTGGTGATCGCTTGCAGAGTAGTCTTCTGAGACTCGCTAGTCAGTGATCCGATTAGCTAGGCTTTCAGATTCTAGAGAAATGTACACCAGGCGACCGAAAGTGGAGACATTACCCGTGTTTAGGATATGAAAACCTAGCCTTGCTACCATCTCTAAAAACATATCGCCCCCTTTGTGTTTGGAGTAAACCCCATTCCAACACCCTAGCGTTGAAATCTCCGCAAACAATCACCCCACCATCAACGTTTAGGATCTCGTCCTCTAGAGAGTCGACTATCTGGCGGTACTCTGCAATGGACTGGTTGGGTGTAAGGTAGCAGGAGAAGAAAGTTAGACTTCTGCTCCACACTCACACGAAACCGTTTTTCTGCACTGGAATCCAAAATCGGTACCTTCTCGGGGTCAAGCACCCAGTTGGCCGTCCTCCCGGAAATATCATGGAACCACTGAGGAGAGCGTTTGTTCTGATATTACTCACTCAGCAGCAAAATATCGGCACCTTGCTCGGTTGCAAAATGGTACTGCAGACTGTCAGCTGTCCTGCTCCTTTGCATGTTAAGCTGAAGGACACGGATCATTTCTCAGTGGATAGACGGACCTTCTGCAGTGCTTCCTTATAACACTTTGACATTAACAATGAACTCCAGTGAACAGTGTAAATCAGTAGTTCAACTTTCAGAGGCAGATTACAAAGAAGGCATTAAAAAGCTGGTGCCATGATAAATACATTCAATCAATGTTGACTACTTAGAAAAAACCCAGAGTTCCAGTTCACCTTTAAAATCCATGCAATTCAAGTTGAACTTTTTTAATTTTTGTATTTCAAATGTCTGACACATGTTAATACAATTTTTGAATACCTACCATTTTAATGATCTCCGGGTAAACAGGTTCAGTGAGCACTCCTCGGCCAGTAGATACATATTCAACCAGCTCGTTGAGTGTGGCTCGCTTGATCTCCTTGCCTTTCAGGTCAGCCATGGGGTCCATGAAGTCAAAGGCCACGCAACACTGGCGCAGCTTACGGATAAACAAATCCTCCTGCTCAGAGGATGGAACCTCTGCAACACAAACAAATACACAAGCTTGTTAGATTCATACATAATTACTAATATGATGAAAGTTTCATAGGCCAAGTATTTTATGTCTATGGAAAAAGCGGTGCGGTGAGTGATTCATGTAACCTACAGGTTGTTGTCTGAAAGGGGGGAATCTATTATTCAACTATTCTTAAGATTAAACATTATCTTAGTTTAAAATCTATAGCCTACATGAGTATTCTGTATCTCAAAGTAATGGATCACAATTTAATTGTATTTTTTCTTATAACTAAACTAACACATTGTATGGATCAAAATTAAACTAAAACAGCCTACTTTCCTTATTTTTTAATCTATTTGTAGATACAATATTTATCTTTAACGGCAATTGCAGTAGGATAAAGGAAATTTTAATCTTAGGAAAGAAGTTAGTTAGAATAATGTCTTGTGTACCCCTACCGGAATACTGTAAGCCCCTGTTCATTCAGCTACAAATTCCAACAGTAATTAACATGTATGTGTTTTACTCTGTATTATATATCTTAAAAAATCCCAACTTAATCAAACAAAATTCTTATGTTTATAATACTTGAATAAAACCATCGCTACACACCATAGATTTTTTAGATTGTCCAAAATTCTTAAAAGTCATAATCATTACAAATATACAAGCTAATACGTGTAATACAAAGATATTCTGAAATTTAACTCTACAAATAGGTTTTGAACAACCCTTTCTTTTCTCTCAAATAATTGTTTGATATGCCTTGTATTAATTTTTAAGCATAATAAACAAATTGACCAAAAATGCTGTTAAATTTACTTAGTTATCAAAACTATTCAATTCTATTATCCTGAGTAAATGGCACATTTCAAAAATTTTTTTGCAAATATTATCATGTTGACTATGCCTGTCTCTGACTGTATTGTATGACTTTGTCAATGCTACAGTAATTGTTTTATGAAGATAAAAATATTTTTATCATTATTATTATTATTAGTAATTGTCTGTTCAACTTGGCAGACGTTGCACTGAATTGAAAACGTGAGGAGACACACACACAGTCGACCGGGTACAATTTAAAAGCCATATTTCAGTAGGCTAAGCATAAAATTTTAATTGGTCAAAATCGGAAAAATGGTGTAAAACTTTAAATACCCTCAACAGTTTTTTCATGTTTTATAAATGACAAATGTACATATGAAGATAATTTATATGAATAAAAAATAGTTCACATAAAAGTTCAGTTATATATAATTAAATGTCATCATTGTCTTGTAAAATTAAAGTTCCTTTAAGTTTTGAGATTTGTCTTTATCGTAAATACTTTCATGTCTCTCATCAATGGTCCATTGAAAATGTGCCTTATAAAATATCCTACAAGCGTCACTAAACATTCAACATCCTCATCTCTCTCAACATGACAAAGGACTATCAATCCTATACTTTACTTGTTAGATTTCACGTCTAGCCACTGACAGGTACATAAATACTTCTCCATGGCTCATTACATAATTTAATGGTAATACTAATGAATTGAAACTGAAGCCAATCAAAAATTGAAAGAGAAACAAGCATTAATTTTCAAACCACAAGAAAACCGGTAATTCCAAAACACGAGGAGACGCACACGGTGGAATCAACCAGTACATGACAAAAAGCAGTTGCTAGACTAAAATGGGGAGGTTAAGGATGGCAAAAAATAGGTCACAGGATTCCTGTAATGTGGTGTGTTATGCACTGTAAAGGCTGACAATACCGACAACAGGGGTATATGAATCCTCTTACGACAACTATAAAATTTATATCAGGGAAGAAAAAAACCTTAAATTTTCTTTTGATATTAAAAATCTCTAACATTACTGTGATTTTAAAAAAAAACTGATAAAAGATTATAAAAATATGTAACAATTTGGCATTCAAAACAGAAGTTAAGGTTACGAATACCGTAGTTATTAATGAGCAGTTTAAGGCTAAAATCATTTATTAGGCCTAATGAAATCAAGCAAGTGATCAGATCACAAAGTGTGTCAAGAAATTAGCATATATTCCTTTAAAACTTTTTGTAGCTATCAGTTTTATTATACACTTTTTGGTTGTTTCCTAAAATATATGAGAGAATTTGCCTCAAAATCTTCAATGTATGTTGAAAACTTTAAAATAATCTCTATTTCAAACTTTGCCTAGACAATAGGTAATATAAAATTTAACAAAAGTAGTCGTTGTTGGTATCCATGGCTAATAATTCAACTGTTAGGGTAGTGGGAGAGAACGGAAGGTTTTGGAGGAGAATGTACATTCCACCAAGTTGCCAAATCCTATGAATAGCAACATATATAATCCCTACCACACAATCAATTGGTCAAAGCCACTCAACTGCCGAGTCCCTTCTGTACATATTGCTGATAACTGTCCTCTCTGGTTTGGAATTAATTAAATTGAATACTATATTTTTCATATTGCTGCATAATTATTGTTTAGTTTCTTAAAGCATCTTTGAAATCAAACCCCTATTAAACCACAAAGAAATAAATCGTAGGTAGTACTTGATTTACAAAGGTAATTTTGTTGTTATGACAATATTAGGATCTAATCACTTTTAAAAAATTATTCAAAAAGCATCAAGCCTGTGGAAAGAGAGTTGAGTCTATTTATATTTAGACTGGGAGTAACTACTAGCTTAGACAAAAATAAATCTGTGACCTCAATACACTGAGAAGAAATTATCATAACTAATATAACCATTAACTTTTAAATATAAGAAAAACTTGAGAATGTCTTTAATCAATTTATTTATATTATCAAATCAATCTTTTTTTTTTTACTTTATTTAATTTACAATCTGTTCAAGTTGAACAATAAGCAAATGATATAAATAGTAATACAAAAATAACTTGAAGAACATGAGCTAGTGATTGACCACCGTCAACACTAGCAAACAAAGAGAATTTTGATAACACTTAGCCGAATCTGAATGGTAGGTCCAATATCGTATGTCGCTTCAGTCTGTAAATGGTGTTGTGATTGTCTAATAAATTAAGTGCAAGATGATTTGAATGATTTTCCAATTTTATAATGTATTTTTCACTATATTTTGTAATTTCTTCTTTTACTGTTCGAATTTGAAGATCATTGTGAAGTGTTCTGTTGGTAACAAACCAAGGAGCGTTGACAATTTTACGTAATAATTTTGATTGGTAACGTTGAATAATTTCAATGTTTGAGGTACTTGCTGATCCCCAAAGCTGAATACCATAAGTCCAAATTGGTTTTAAAACTGTTTTGTACAGTAACAATTTATTTTGTGTACTGAGTTTTGATTTAGATCCAAGAAGCCAATTAAGTTTAGTTGTTTTTAAATTTAGATGTTGCCTTTTAGTCCAGATATGTGCCTTCCAATTAAGCTTTGCATCTAAGTGCATGCCCAGGTATTTTATTTCCGTTACTTGAGGGAGGTGAATATTGTTCATGGATACTGGAGGACATGTAGCCTGATTTAAGGTAAAAGTAATGTGTGCTGATTTATTTTCATTAATTTTGAACCTCCATGTTTTAAACCAATGAGAAATTTCATCCAAGTTTAGCTGTAAATTCGCTGTAGCTTGAGCTGGATTGTCGTGGACAGATAAAATCGCCGTGTCATCCGCAAATGTAGCAACCATAGTGTTTACACTTTCTGGTAGGTCCGATGTATAGAGAATAGGTACAAGTATGGTCCAAGCACGCTTCCTTGGGGGATTCCTGATTCTATAGGGTAAAGGTCAGTTAAGTAATTTTGATGTTTAATTTGGAAAGTTCTGTTGGTAAGATATGATTTTAAAATAGGAAAAACTGAATGGGGTAGTAACTTCTTAATTTTGAATAGTAAGCCAGAGTGCCATACTTTGTCAAATGCCTGACTGACATCAAGGAAAGCAGCAGAACAAAATTGTTTGTTTTCCAAACAGTTTCGAATTGTATGAACAACCCTATGGACCTGCTCCACGGTGCCATGTCTCCGTCTAAACCCGAATTGGTGTCCTGGAATGACGTCGTCTTCTTCAAAAAGAGCTTGTAGTCTTTTGAGGAACAATTTCTCAAACAACTTGGACACTATAGGCAAGAGACTTATAGGTCTGAAGGAAGTGATTTCATGAGGAGGTTTTCCTGGTTTTGGTATAACAATTAATTGGGCTTTCTTAAATTGAGTTGGTATGTGGTCTAGTCTCAATATAGAATTAAAGAGAAATGCAATAAAAATCATTCCTTTCCTTGGCAGTTCTTTTAACATTTTCCCAGTGATAGAATCGTAACCAGGAGATTTTTTCGGATTTAGCGATTTGTCAATGGTTGCCTTAATTTCTGTAGGTCTGAATTTTTCCAGAGGAAAGTCAAGTTGAAGTGGAGAGTCCAAGAATTCTATTATTTCTTCTTCATTATTGACCACACCTACATTTGGCTTGAATACATTGGAAAAGTAATCCCCGAAAGCTTCAGATTTTTCTATGTCACTCTTAGCCCAGCTTCCATCCGGTTTACGAATTGGCGGGATTGAAATTTGGGGTTGCTTCAGCCTTTTTGTTACTTTCCATAACGAGTAATCCGTAGCTTCCGTAGCCGACAAAGATTGAGTATATTCTTCAAACCATCGGTTTTTTGTGTCGTACAATAATCTTTTCAAATTCCGTGCTGCTCGGTTAAAGTTGGCCTTATCATTTGGGTTTCTTGAGTTTTGCCAAATTCTTCTGAGTCGTCTCTTTTCTGCTATCTTTTTCTTGATATGAATTGGGTAGCCTAGGCCTATTTTCTCTGATTTTTCATGATTAGGTAGAGGTGTGGATTCTTTGGCAGAATTTTGAATACAGTCAACAAAGTGATCAACAGCAGCTTCTACATTTTCAGGACTACGTAGCTGTATGTGTAAATTTAAGTTTTGATTTATAAAATTTCGAAATTGATTCCAGTCCGTGTATTTATTGAAAAATACGTCCCCTGGTTCTTTGTGAAATATTTCGGTACTTAAATTTAACATAACTGGAGA